AAGTCAACTGCCTTTTGGAGATGTGTTTATGACAAAAAGCAACAACGATTCCTATGGGCTTTTAAGGTTTAAGCCATTATTTATAATCTCATGTTTTCCTCAGCAGATTCTATACCAGAGGCATTTTGCTGTGAGGCATTCTGATGCTAACATTACTGTTTAATAAAATTGCTACTAAGTGGACCCACCAGTATGAACATCAGATAGTGTCTACTTTGTTAAAACGGGGATGTGTGAAATACACCCACCAATATAGTGTTCTAAATCCAAGGAAACGTGCAAAAGGACATATGCATTTTGCAGCCTATTGCATTCCACTCATGCTCTTTCTCTCTCTTTTTGCACCTATTTATTCTAGCCTTCCCTCATGTCAATGAAACAGTGCAGATAAAGAATTAATATTTCAACTGTTCACATCTGCGTAACATTGTTATTGCACGGTGGGAAATAGCCGAAGAAGAAAAAAAATAGCACAATTTTGACCTTGCAAACTTTTAGATCATTTTTTTTTCTTAAAAATTAACTTTTTTCTGATACTTATTGTGCTAGATGAATAACTTGTTTATTTTCATAATTTGTTTGGTCCTCTTGTTTCACTCTCCTCTTAGCAATAAAGTGAGACATGATGATTCCCTCACCTAGCCTGACATAGAAGGTGGCAGGGAAGACCCAGCTGTTTTCTCTGTGAAGTCAGACCCTGACACCATTCCCACCAGTACCAGAAATAATCCCGCAATACTTTCCACTGGTAGTGCCTAGTTCTCAAATTTACTCTAAAAGGCTGCCATAAAAGCAACTTATGAAGAAATTGAATGTTGGAGGAAAAGTGTCAGAACAGGTTAGAGTTTGCATTGGGTGTTTTATGAGTAGGGGTGACATCACAGTGAGAGCACAAAATCCTCTGTGTGAATTTATCTCAAGGTGCCTCCCCCATATCACCACACACATATCCAGCAGCATAACTGTCTTCACTTCCCATCATAAGAACCATTTGTATGGACTAGGAATTGTACATTCTGAGGAATAACATTACTACTTGGATCTATCAGATATTTGGGGCATCTTCCTGGAGACTATTGAACAATGAACTTTAGGAAACAATTTTTCTACCGTATTTGCATATTTATTGTTTTAAATGGTTTATATTGAGTTGCTCTATTTTCATTTGAATATGCTATACCTGCAAATAAAAAAACCCCAGCATATGGATTGATCAATTCTTCTGTTGCTGGCTCATTTTACCTCATAACTGGCTACTTGACATCATATTCAGATTTCTTGACTTCATACTTTATGCTTTACTTCATGAAAAAAAATAACTACTCTCTTCCTCTCTCCACCCAGCAGCAATCTGAAAATTCATCAAGTTTTTTTTCTGAATCCCAAGTGTTTCACTCACATAGATATATGAAATATATCTTTCCTTAATGAATCTCCCGGTTTGAAGCTTTCCTGTCTGAAATAAAGTACTGGTTTCAGGTTGCAGAAACAGCATTTTTTTCTTTACTGGTTTTACCAGCTGGCACTAGGTAATAAGGCAAGGCTCACTTTTCAATAAATATTTTATGAATTGTTTATTGGAGTATTAATTATAATAGCTCTGGAATTTGTTTTAGTTCTAGAACTAAATACTCTCACAATTCTCTAACATTAAACCCCATTTTTGGATATCTTCTACTGAAGCAGCAAAATTTGGCAGGAAGCAGAGAATAATATTTTTGCTGCCATTGTTAAACAGTACGAGGGAGGAATTGTTGCTATTTAGCACAAATTACCCAAATATCAGATTATAGATCCATTACTATCTTTTGCTTCTTCTTAAAGTGGAGAGTTGAGGCTGCCTTTTTATTTCTCTTCCTCCTCCTTCTCGTTCTTTAACCAAAGGCTCTGGATATTACTTTTGTTTAGAAAGAAGTTTCGACTGAGCATATTAGAGAAATGCAGCTCTAGATTAGTTTAACTTTGGAGGACTCAAAGCTGTAGGATGTGTGGGCAGGACTGTAGCACATTCTCAAAGTTGTGCATTTGGAATGTAATTATCAAGTGTCTCCACACTTTTGGCAATAATTTCTGTAAATGTGACATAATAAATTGCACTGAATTGTAAACAAATCTCTAACAGCAAGTAGCAATATGGGGAAAGATGGAATGAACATTCTCAGTTATCAGAATGTAAGATAACTGGTTGCTTTATTAATCTTTTTGGTGTGTTCATTCATCACACGAAAATAGTCAACCTCTTATTATCTCTGGATTTGGAATACATTTCATATGTTGCAATAATAAAGAAGATGTTTAAAGTCTTTCTGATCAGCCTCATTTTTACCTGCTTTTTCCTTCTGGTTTATATCATTGACTGGTCTTCTGGATGCTCTCCTGGGATTTTGACAATTGGAAGCTTCATTGGCTTCATTGGCAGTAATTATCCAAATTGTGTTGATAATCACAGAAAGGTAGGACAGCTTCAGTGTAAGCCAGTGATTCTCAACCATAGTGACTCTTAGTGAATCCCTGACTACCTTCCCATCAAAGTGGTACCTCTATTTATCTACTCGTATTTGCATACTTTCAAATTGCTAGGTTGTGAGCACTGGGGCAAGGATGGGAGCTCTCCCTACAGCATAGCACTCAGATCTGAAACCCAGCAGAAAAGTCCAGTGTCTTAACCACTGAGCTGCTATGCCACCCTAGATCAAATAATAATTGCCATGAAAACATGGGATGAGTTTTAACAGATAAGCTAAATAATTGAGGTGGGACTGCAACCCCCTGGTCATCCCACAAATAGGTGGAAGAATTAACAACTAACATGTCTGGAAGTCTGCTGGCTTTTGCAGTTTCTACAGGCCTTTGATGATAATACAATAATAGCTGAGGAAACAAACTATTCAAGAATCCTCAAAGCCGAAGTGAGAACAGAATTCTGAATAAGTGTTGGCTCCAATTCTCCTTCTTAAAAGAATACTTGTCCAAATTAAGAACAGTGTCTCTGCCTAGGACACTGCACTGACAAGAGGTTCACTGTGGGAAACCGGCATAGTCTTATGCCCCCTTCCACACTGAACAGCACACTTACACAAACAAAGGACCTGTGTAGGCTCAGTGCCCGGCTATGTAATTAATTCACTGGCAGTTTTGGCAAACAGCTTCCTCAAAGCTTAAATTAATTATTTGTTGTTTTTAAAAGGTAATTATATTGACATATTGTACAGAGGTGTAAGGAACAATCAGTAGCAATTATCAACCACTTTGCAGCAGCTAAAGCTGCCCTCTTTGCTCTCTGATAAGTTGGAAGGCCAATTTCCATGGAGATTTATTTCCAGGAAAGATCTCCTTTGGGTGAAATGATGACCCCTCCCTGTATTGATTTGCTTACCTTTATATTCCTCCAGGTTAAAATTCAGTGTCAGTACATTGCAAAAGGAACTGTTGCTAATTATCAGCGGGCTTTTATTTGAAGTTGTCAGGAAGAGTAACATGTGAGTGGAATCAAGGTGTGAAGTTAATCTCAGGCATGGGGTCTCCTTCTTGGAGTTAATCTGTATAGGCTCTGTCAATGTAGGATATTTTTACAGCAACACCTAAAATTCATTTACAAACATGTAAATCTGATTTGATAATACATATGGATAAACTGTGACACTATTCTGTTCCCAAGCTGAATTAAATAGGGAGATTTACAGAAAAAGAAAATAATTTATTCACACACAGCACATTCCCAAACCTTCCCTAATCTTCTTTTCTATAGAAAACCTATCCAATGCTGACATTCCTGCTCTATAGGTGAGGTTAATTTAAGTTTCTTCCATTAAACTTGAGATCCATTTCTATATGTAGATATTTAAAAAGAATTGGAAGATGATCATTAATCCAAATAGGCCAGAGAAAAGAGATTGGAACAGAGTTTCAGAATAAAAATGAGATGGCCTATGGCAAATAAATACATAGTTAACATAACTAAGAAGTTAAAGACTAAAGAAACAATGACGGATTAAGAAGGTAGGTCAGACAAACAAAAGGCTAATTCCAAGAAAAAAAATCAGAAAAAGGAGTTGGACTTAGAGTCTAAAAGCATGTCACTTAGATTAGGTGTGAGGTATTTAGGAATCTCCAGCATCAGTCATTATTGATCATGCTACCTAAGGCTGCTAGCAATTTTAGTTAGCAATTTTTGGAATTGCTAACTAAAATTTTCTCACCCTTAGAGTAAATAAAAAAGCCCATGCTTTGTAAAACTAGTTCTTATAATTGGTGCTAAACCACACATCATTTTCCCTTTCAGAAAATGTATTTCTATAAAAATAGCCGACCGACCTTACCTCCCAGAATGGCTGGATCAGCATAGTCCAAAAGAAAAAATTGAACTGGTTCTTGATATAGAGATTTTTGCACACAGTTACTTGGCAAACCTTGGACAATCTCAGTATGCCTGATTTTGCAAGGAGGCCAGAACTGGAAAAACCCTTTCCATATAACTAACATGCTAGGAAGTGAAATCCCATTTTTCAAATGCTCCATATTCCAAATTTGACACTTATTGAAAAGAATACAATGAATATCCAATATGAAGCTGTGTTGTTTCATTGTACATACACTGAACAAGTTTGATTCTCATATTTTAAACAGTTGAATATTATTCTTTAATTTGCAGAACGTTTTAGAGAAATACTTTTTTATTTATTTTTCTCATATGTATCATAGATGTTATTGGGCCTCACAGGTTGACAATCTAGTAGAAAATAATAAGAGTTAGATGCAGTGGAAATTCTGTTTTCAATAATTCAAGCTAAATCTGGTTTGATGGGATCGCATGAGATAAACTATGTTTACACATAGCATTGCTGCAAGATGAGTGTTTGTTTTAATAATTTGGTAATGTCTGTATGTTGCTATATTTAAGAGTTAAACATTTTACTGAGTTTGGGGAGCATTCCCAGAGGTTTTTTGGAATCAGGATAGAAGAAGACAATTAATATAGGCCTTTCCTTGTATTTGTTTCTATAGAGCTCAAGGCCACTGGAACTGCACGCTTCTTCAATTTCCTTCTCAACTCAACAGACTACCGAATCTTGCTAAAGGATGAAGATCATGACCGAATGTATGTGGGGAGCAAAGACTACATCCTCTCACTAGACCTTCATGATATCAATCGGGAGCCCTTGATTGTAAGAACATTTTTTAAAAAAATTCTCATCAGAAGTAGGCAGAGGGAAATTCTGCTTGATGGGAAACAAAATACTTCTGAATCTGTGCTGATTTTGCAGAAGATAGATATTGAAGCAGATGAGTCTCTCTGGAAAAATAAGTTGAAAATAGGATTGCTTTTTTTAAAAAAATTGATCTTTCCTACGGTTGATATAGAGTTTTTTCCTAGTTTTAATGCAACGAACAAACTATTAAACAATATTTGTCCAGAACGTTTAGATTTAGGTTTTGTTTTGCTTTTTGAGAGAGTATTTTGTCTCTTCAGAGTTTTTTTCTTTGTTTCCTATATCATTCAATATAAGATTAGTCTACCAAATATAAAACAAAAGTATTAAACAGACACTTGACAGGCACCTCTTGTGCCACAGTGCCATTTAGTGCCTATTTATCTTTTTGTCTGCTTGCACACTTGAAGTCAAGAGTCCTTCAGGACCAGAGGAAAGCTCAACATGTAATCTGTAGGCTATTTGGTCAGAAGAGTTGCCTATGGAGGATCATTTTCCATTTTTAACTCAGGAGAGACCTGTGGATGGAGAGAAATAACATGTAGATCTATTCAGGAATACATAACTATTTATATTTGTGCCTTCAAGTCAGTGTTGATTCCTGGAGGCTGCCTGGAAAAGTCCCTGCAATTTTCTTGGCAAGATGTCAAAAGTGGTTTGCCACTGCCTGTTTCCAAGAGCAGAGAGAAAGTGACTGGGCCAACGTCACCTAGCTGGCTTTGTGCCAAAGGCAGGACTAGAGTTCACAGTTTATTGCCACTAGACCAAAGTGTGTCTTCATAAAAATAGGTGACAAAATGGTGAAGCCTTAACCTGAAATGCGAGAAACATTGTTTATATCTGTGCATTTTAAACTGGGTTTCATAAATATTTTAAATATTTAAATGTTCTTCATTTCTAAACTATTATTTATGAATCTGTGTAAGTTTAAAATCTGTACGTGTATATGTATGAACTTAACCTGTTGCTGTGATTCTAGAACAGCACAACAACCACATTGTACTTTGCACCCACTGATAAATAGGGTTTTTTGTTTTTTAACAGATGTTCCAGAATATTCCTCCCCCTCCCCCCCCCAATAAAAAGGTACGGCCTTTAAGAAACGTATCTGGAACAAATAGCGAGGTGATGTGACTGTTGGCTTCTAAAATAATCACATTGAAAAACTCCAAGTGATTTCTAATGCAAAAGTTCCAATTCAATACATTGTCTGGTTTGGGACCAGGATTAAAATATGGGAAATCAGAGTTGTAACTGTGAGGTGTTGTTTCGCTTGGCAGATCCACTGGCCTGCATCCCAGCAAAGGATAGATGAATGTGTCCTGTCAGGGAAGAACAATAATGTAAGTACTTCTGTTGTTATCCCCAAGCCCATTCAGGATGGTAAAGTCCTAATATTATGCAGGAAAGGTTGCTGGAGGTTCATCTTTCACCTGTCTTTAAAATAGAAATCACCATAGACCTAAAAGGGGTATTGCTCACACCTCCACAAAGATTTCAGGCGGACAAGAAAAATCAGCAAATACTGACTGTGCTTTGCCACCTTTTCCTGCCTCATCCCACCTCCTGTTTACTCTCACCCTTTCAGCCATGAAGTCCAGATACTTTAAGTGACAGCTAAAAATAGAATTCTGTTGACTGCTGTGTTTGCTAAAAGATGACCCCATTTTAGGTCATTCCTGCACTATTCCTGCAAGAGTTTTATGTTCATTTGGGCCTCAATATTTGTATCTTAAGATATACATAGATTTGTATCTTATGATTTATGCCTCATATTATAAACCATAAATCATGCTACAAGTTTGAATACAGGTGGTCCTCAACTTATGACCATAACTGAGCCCAAAATTTAACAACTGTGAGATGGCTGTTAAGTGAATTTTGCCCCTTTCTTGCTACACTTGTTAAGCAAATCATGGCAGTGGTTAAGTTAATTAACACAATTGTTAAATGGCTTCTCCATTGATTTTTGCTTGTCAGAAGATCACAAAAAGGTGATCACATGATCCCAGGACATTGCATCTGTCAAAAATATGCGCCAGTTGCCACATGTCTGAATTTTGACCAAAGGTTGTAAGTGTAAAAAAACCAGTCCTAAGTCACTTTTTTCACTATTGTAACTTCAAATGGTCACTCAGTGAACTGTTTCAAGTTGAGGACTACCTGTAATTGTTCTCTACTGATATAAACTACCTATCTTACTGAAAGAAGATAGGTAGTTTATATAAAAAATTTCAGACCTTGTCAACAACATCATGAACCCAAGATGTCAGGATTCCGGCACTTAACCCCATTTAAATCATGACTCTTGAGCCAAACTTCCAAAACTTCAAAAGGATTTATTGGGAGTTAACATGTCCAGCACTGCCTGGGTGTAGGCGACTCTGAGACACATCATTCATTGTCACCCTTGACCCAGGTTTTCCCCCACCCTCTGGGTGTATCATAATTCATATTCTCCAATGGGACACATCCATAGCCAAGAGTCATCAATCGTGCTCTCCGGTTAGAATTTTGCACGGCAGAAACTTTGGTCACCTAGTTACTATCTTTGAAAACATTTATGGAATGCACTTTCAGTTTGCAAGCTGCCACACTGCTCTCCCCTCCCTTTCTGTTGGCAGCTCTAAAAAGACCATAGAAATATTTTATGAGTTGACACAAGAATTGACAGCAGTTGTACACCTGCATTTCCCCATATCTTTTATAAGAGGACAAAATAAGGGCTAAAAGTGGTGGTTTCGGTTTTTGATCCGAAGACAGCAGATCAGTGCAGAATGGAGGACAGCTTGTGGATTATGCAGCATGCAATCTTTGACTACCTGGGGCCAACAGATCTGCTAGGAATGTTGCCCATTTTGCTCAATACTAACTGATCAGGAAATTGGCAGGAAGAAATCTCTGGTGTTCATCTGGTAATGACAGCAGCCTACAGTAGCATGAGTAGTGAGGAAGGAGAAGCCTATCTTACTCCAGCGACCTTGTTTAACTGAAGGATATGTTGGTGTGCATGACATGCAAATGAATGTGACTAAAGCTCATGAGCCCCAACCTGGCAATTTCTCGAGGTTTTGTGCCTGAAAATGTTTTTTTTTTAACTTCTGTGCATGGAACATAATCAGATGAAGAAGCTTTATCAGCATTAAATTGTAGGAACCAGGAAAATATGTTTCAGCCAGAACTAAGTTGCTTAGTAATAATGCATGCTAATTATTATTATTTGTTTGTCTTGGTAGAAGGAAGCAAGGTTAGAGGTTACCAAGCTGTTTCCTGCAAGGCCTAGCTGGCCTTTTGACCAACTGTCCTTGAACTCTGTCTTGTTGAGATCTCTCAGCTACTACTGTTTGGGGTTTAATTTCAGAGGAGCCAAATGCCCAGAGCAAAGGAAGCTGCATTTGCTTGCATATTTCCCTTCCTCTTGAACTTCATTACCCTTGGCTCCAGCTGAGATTCTCCAGACTGAGGCATAAGGCAAGGAGGAAACATGAGCTGTGAAGAGGAAATGGGACTCCATGCTCAGGCACACTGCTTTATGTTTCAATCCTGGTCCTAGATCCAATTAATTAATAAGCTTAGGCCTTGCCCCATGCTGTGAATTCTCTGCTTATTCTCTGGTGTTCTCCATTGTCACTTACTAAATATTCAGTATAAGTTTCATTAGCCAAGGGGTTTCCAAGCCCTTCACACTGTTTAATGCGGTATTTTTCAACCTTGACAACTTTACAATGTATGCTCGTCAGCTCCCAGAATCCCCTAGCGTGGTGGCTGGGGAATTCTAGGAGTTGAAGGTCATACATCTTAAAAGTTTCTGAGAATGAGAAATATCACTCTATCAGAGCCACTCCATTAAATAAGCCATCGTAGTCATCAGTTTCTCCTTCTGAATAAGGATAGAGAGAACTTCAGAAGGTTTCTGAATGGTCCTCACTATCTCGAAATACAGTGCCATTTAAGCTGTCAAAAAGCATCACATTTATCTTTGTGCAATTGCTAAAAAAGGAAGATTAAATAAGATGAAAAATTACCAGTATGACATTATCTTCCTTACTTAGGCTTCACTGAATAATAATAATAATAATAATAATAATAATAATAATAATAATAACAACAACAACAACAACATCAATATTAATATCAATAACAACAAACAACAAGAACTTTCTTATTGTGCGCTGGCTGGGGAATTCTGGGAGTTTTTAAAATAATTTTGTTGCATTTCACATACTGTCAGAAAAAAAAACAAAAGAAACAAGATGCAAAATCATACGTAATAAAAAGACATATCAAGTGCTAAAAATGAGTATAATTATAATTACATAATGTAAACATTATACACATATACATACATACACTCCTTTTTAATACACTTATACACTATAGCTATCATTTGTGCTGACTGGGGATTTCTGAGAATTGAAATTCACACATCCTGAAGTTACCAAGGTTGAAAAATCACTGGTTTAACAAGTCGGGAGCCAGACAAGCTTTACTGGAGTTCTTTTCCTTTCTCCCCAGGACCAATAAAATCAGAAAGTCTTCTTTTGGGTCCATAAGAAGGATTTTCCTTTCATGCATTTGCATTCAGGTCATCTTCCATGTTTGAAAATAAGCAGGACCAGGAGTCTGGCATCTGCCATCCTGACACCGAGATAGTTCTCTGGAATTGTACGACTGTTATTTTCTCAGACTTTAGAAAAATTGCCAAGGACAAGGAGGAAAGCTTTGACCTGCACCATTTATAGTCTGTTTCAGTTACAACTATGCTGTAGCATAAGACACGAAAAAAGGAATGTTGGCTCTGAAATGGGGAATAATTCAAAGTTCTTTAAAAGCGGGGGGAAGAGAAAGCACCATAAATAGGGCATGCAGAAAATTTGCTTTGCAGAAACATTCAAAATCTCATTGGAAGGAATGCTTCAAAATGTATATTTGCTGATTCTAAAGGGGCACCAGGCCTTATTTGCTCAGAAGTGCCACTTCAGTGACCGCTCAATGCACATAAGTACCTGTCCATAGGACTTGCTTGTTGCAATGCACAAGGAGCTTTCTTTAATAGTAAAGCCATTTCCTGCAGAGGACCTTGTACATCTGAATCTTCCACTGGGTTGTGATGAAGAAAGGATGCAATTGCTCTCCTCCCCTTCTTGAAGTAGATGCAGTTTTGTAGGAGGCTTAAGTTAATGTTCCATTTGTCTTCTAGGGTGAGTGTGGGAACTTCATACGACTTATCCAGCCCTGGAATCGAACACACTTGTATGTCTGTGGCACTGGCGCATATAATCCTGTCTGCACCTTTGTCAACCGGGGTCGCAAAGCACAGGTGAGGTGATGTTACAGTGTATGACTAGATCGGCATGCAGATTGGTAATAGGGAAGCATCTGGAAGTGGCCTCAGGCTACCCTAGAAGAGCAGAATCCAGCAGAATTATGCTCCCATTGATCCTGGTCGGGGTAGCAAGCCACCAGAGGCTGGTTTCTGGCTTTAAGCACTGAGACCGAGCCTTTATTCCTTTATCCCCACGTTTAACCCCAAAGGTGTAAGATAATGTGCCCTAAGTTCTCCTCTAAGACTTGACACTGGCCTAAAGATGCTCGTTCATCCCCTGTATAAGTGAATATGTAAGCCTGAATCTTATCAGTTGTAGTCTCTATAGTCACAGTGTTACAGTGACTTGCCCGGTGAGAAAAAGGAGACAAATATGTAGGATATGAGATAGGGATAAAGTAAAATACTAGCTGACATCATTCGTATTCTTGTTGCAATTTAGTATGTCCTCTTTAAAATAGAGGTATTGAACCATTCTTCCTATCTACTGAGCATTCACTTCTTAGAAAGAAAGTTCAAAGCTTTTGTATGGCTTCCATACTTCATATAGCTGGTAGAGATCAATTATTCAATAAAACCCTTTAAAAGGCTCCTCTGAGAATCTTACGAAGTGGAGCCCATTTATAAATCCAGCAACATTAACTCAGATATTGCTATTTAGAGTAGTGTTTTAGTACTCATGACTGCTGATATACTATGAAATCAGACCTAGTGTGACATGTTTGGTATTTCGTTATCATTTCTTTTAATGAAAGCTTGCTGAAAGACATTTGGATTGCTGCACTGTTGTATTGCTTTACTTCAGGTTGGTGGAGCAAATTTCTCTGTTCAAGAAAGAATTGGAAATTGTCTTTGCTGCCCATTCCCAGGACTATATATACAACTGAATTGGAGATGGGGCAGTATAACTATGTAATACAGACTGCTTCCCATAGCATGAGACTGCCTCTCACCGTTCATATTTATATCAAACACTTATTTCATATTTTGGTTCTGTATCTCTTACCAGCATCATTTGATCTCCCCATTGCTGGGATCAGTGACTACAATGACAATAATGCTTTGCCCCATCTACTGTACTAGGCATCTTTCTGTACACCTATGGATCTTTGGAACTAGTAAGTCTCAAGAGAGACCATGCCATAAAGGAGCACAATTCTTAATCAAATAATGAATCGTACATAAAAACAATGAAAAATCTCTCTCCTAGAGAATGATTTGGCTCTGTAAATCAGTGTTCATAATGTTGCTTATTCTATTTTAAGCTTGTTTTTGGTTGGCTCTGGGAAGTCCCTTAAAATCTGGAAAACACTTTCATATTTAATTTATCTTTATTTTCCCCCTTATGGTAAAACACTGCAAGTAGAATGAGATCCCTATTTTTAGGGGTCTCAAAAACATTTCCATGCTTAACCTGAGCATAACACTATCATAATTACAGGAAGTCTTCCTGGAAATGATTGAAGTGCCTGCTTAAGAAAATGTTTATAAATTCAGGACCAAGAATTACCTTTTTTGTTAGCTCAAAAGCAGGAGTCTTAAGCAGAGCTCAAGTCCATCCAAACAAATGGTTATACAGGCATTCTCCAGCCAATGCTAACATTTTTCCAAGCAAAATAGAGCAATCAGGGTTTCTATGCTAGGTTCAACCGCATAGTACATTTCCCAGAGGTTTGCTGTAACAGATGCACAATCACGAATGTTTCCATTTGTACGTACTAGGAGATGTACATACCATTTGTGCATACTAGGATATTCTTCCTCTATGCTTAAAGGATATGAGAGATTTCAAGCATTATGATGGCCCATGCACCTCTATTTTCTGTCCACTGATAATTGGGGTGAACCAGAGGACTGTTTTCATTTTTGCAATGATCCCAAGCCTGAAACATGAGTGAATCAGGGAGAAGCATATGTAAAAGTTTATGAATGCATAGCTACTTTAGAAATTAGATCTATGATGGAAGACACACTTCTTTTCAAAACTTCTTTTCCAATTCAGTATATATTTATGTCCCACCAGGAAGATGATTGCAGTATAAATTCCCCAGAAGGCAGGAATTGAGAAGAGCTGTGTTTCACAGGCTCTGTTATGAGGATGGAATTTTATCTTTTTGGAAAAGATAATATGAAACTCATTTAAAAAGGACCACAAAGTTTGAAGAAAAAAATAGCAAAGTTTTAAAAGTGGTCTATATAAACACCTGGTGATTAATTAGGTAAATTATGTATTGGAATTAATCGTGTTGATCTGATTTAGTATCTGTGGTTTCTGAAATAGATGTCAAAGAAATAGAATAATAGAATATTGTAAGAAAGGAGAAAGATTGTAAGAAAATTAAATATACATTGACATTATTCTACTATTAATAGAACATTATCCAAGTTTCATTTCCCAGCAACCAGAGGTTTTGCTGTTGTTGACAAGTTTTCAATTAACAGATAAGTGACACCATCTTTGACATTAATGGGTCTGTATAACCTCCATCCGATGTGGACTGGTACATCTTTATCAATTTATGTAACATCACCCTTATCTTTGCCATTTAGCATACCGGTAATAGTTTTTTTGAAGGGGGGTTCTCATTGTATTGTGTTTTGACTTACTGGTTTTAGATATCACTGATCCGTAAAAATGATATAAAGGAAAACTGCTTGTATAGCGATGGAAAATGTTTTCACCATTAAACTATCATCTCATAATCATTTCCCTCAAGGGTTTTGCCTAGTTTAATTTTAAAATAGACCTCATGACCATTTTCTGTCATATGTTTCTAATACCATATTGCTGCTATGACTTTCAGTTGTAGCTACATGATAAAAGAAATATGAGGTACCATTTTAAATATTGTTAATGCTTCAAAAAGGACCTTTCTTCCCAAGATCTAAACAAAAAGCACAGCAATTATTGAAAAGAAAAGAAAATCTTTGCTTCATACTTTATTCTGTCTTTAACTACAGCTTACATCTCTATGCAAAAACCAAGTTAATGGCCCACCAGATCCTGATGATCTTATAGTTCTTATTCATTGATCATGTTCACTGGAAATTGTAATTCAGCAACATCTGGAGCCCCAGATGCTCCTTAAAATGTTAAAGATATATTATACAGTGAAATCATTTAGTCCTGCACTTCAACAATTTACTTGAGATGCCTCAGATGTTCTCAGTGTTGACCCACCCAGGTATGACATTCTCCAGATAGCCCTGGAGAATAGTTGACTACCCTACTTAGACCATAGAGAGGATATAACTATTTATGAAGACAACCTTGGTCTCAATATGTGTACATGACAGAGATAGTGAAGCTTCTGCATGCTCTCTGGCCAGACCCTGCCATTCCTGCTTCTCTGGCAGATGATGCTGCCAGTGCTAACTCTCTGCTCCTCCTCTCCTCAGGCTTTTGAGCTGAACCAGTCCATCCAGCAGGGAGGACGGGGAAGTAGAGCAGTTGACTCCTCCCTCCACCCGTCTCCAGTGGAACGCAAGGTGGGAATTGCGCTCTGCCTGTCCTTCCCCAAGGACAAAATGGCTCCTTCCCTAGCATGCCCGAGCCTGGGCTCTCTAACCTTCATTTTCAACTGGCATGCACCTAACAGGCAATTAAGGGGTGGGGGGGAGGGCCAAGTGTAGCCAGGATAGACACATGCCCCTCCAGCAATGAGCGCGCTTCCTGGACAGCTTCTCCTTGCGTCTCCTCTCTCAGACTAATTCTTCCTTCCCCAGGCTCACAACAGACTTGCGTCAAGAAATAAGCCTCTCAAAATGTTTGACCTTAGTATACAGGACAAGATCCTGTATCCATCCACTTGAAATGTAGACACATGAGATTTTTATTTCAAGCAAATGTTGAACTGAAGAGAGGCCGCCTCATAAGCTGCAAGTAGTTTGGAAGGATCAAAGTCATGCTGAAAATGGAGGCGGGGGTGACGGTGGGATGTGGATGGGATGTATTTCTCTATGTTGTATAAACATATGTTAACAGTATGAACAGAGAGGAAGATCCAAGGGGTTGGATGCTGTTTACAAGAGCATGTTTTAATTTGGGGGATCAGCCAGCTGGACGCGTACCCATTTACAGATTCTAAATTTATTTTTTTTAGCTGTTGGAAAAGGAGGGACGGAGGAAAGAGGGAGGGAAGGAAGGAAGGAAGTAAATTGTGTAGTCAATTTAGTCTGGGGTTTAGAATTACTGGCCATGAGATTTGTTTATTTATCAGATTTCTACACTGCCCATCTCACCTTAGTGATTCTGGGGGTTTACAACAATATAAACACATGAATAAAAGCACAGATTAAAAAACAGGGTTGAGGAGAAAGTTCACACTTACAAGTTAAAAAGTTAAAGAGTTCCCTTTCCTAATATGTCTCTTCTTGGATTTCAGTGTGATACAAATCCTTCGTGCTTTTTACATTTGGCAACAGATTTCTACATTGAGTTCAAGGTGACGCACCTAAAATGTTCGTGGTGAATATGCAGGGCTGCACAATAACTTTTCTAAAGCCAGACAGATTCTTTTAGGCATAATATCAAACTGTTGCATGACTAAATCATTCTAGAACAAAATCCAGACTTTCAAACATTTCTCCAAACAGGTTAATTTCAAGTGTTGATGTTATTTTGTAACATCATAGTTCACAAAGTCCTATGGTGAATTTAAAGAACGCATTTTAAACAAAAATTGTCTGACTTATTTAGTGGGCTTGCTTGAAGGCATCAAATGTAGTTCTTTTAAGTGAGCAGATTCTTTTTCTTTAGATATTCATATTCCACCTTTCAACAAGTGACTTCTATTATTAAAATAGACAAAATACATAGAAAATTGATAGTGACTCTGTTCAGACAGATAGAAAAAGTGTTTACACACACATGGATGAACACATACACATCAGTGTGTGTGTGTGTGTATGTGTGTGTGTGTGTATACACATGCACATCTATATATGTGTATATAAATCTATTTATCTATTTATTTATCATCTATCTATCTATCTATCTATCTATCTATCTATCCATCCATCCATCCATCCATCCATCCATAAACATACATATACACATAAATATACACATACATAGACATATATATCTTTTAGAGAAAATAGGTGAGGTAAATAGTCCTCAAAGGAGTTTCCCTGAAAAAAAAAATATTCTGCCATTAGAAAAGGGCAGCTAGACAAGGGAGGCCTCCTTCATACATGTGGCAAGGTGATCTTTCCACTGTCCTTGTCCCAAACGAAAAATGATCCCTGGACTTTCTCCCAAAGCCCTGCTATTATTCAAAAGCTCTGTCTGTGTGAATTTCTGAGAATATTTTGATGTGTCTGGGCTTTATCTAGGCTAACATTACTTGGCATTTGGAGCCCAAATGAGACTATATGCTCTCCAGTTCCTTATAGGCATAGTCACATCTATTCTTTCACCTTGTTCATTCATCCCAACAAACATCTTTTATGTGCTTTACACTGACTCAGCCCATTTTTAATAAAAATTGCTGACTTTAGCAATTGTTCAGGAAAAGTTGGGCCACAGTTTATTTTGCTTAGACAGATCCCTCTTTAAGATGGCATTTATATGAAACCCTAGTGGTATGAATATTGTCAAAAGGAGGAGCCTGCTGATAATATTTTAACCATATAACTCACATTCCCCCTCATGCTCTCTTTATCTTTGGATGCAAAGCTGTTAAACAATTATGATTTCCATTTGGGGAGTTGACAGTAAAGAATCCAAGAAGCACCTATTATTATCTTTGTCAGCATTATTTATTAATAACCACAGTTCTTGAACAATATCTCTACAATGCCTGGTTATCTGCCTACATTTGAGCTTTTGACTATAAAATACAGAAAAACATGTTATCAATCAACAATGTTCAATCTATGGCCACATGAGGTCTTGGGCAGCTAGTAATGCAGCTCCATAAGATAATTAAAAATATTTTTAATGAAGTTTTTTATTTATATAGATTAACTATATTGTATATGCAGCCCAAGATCATTCCTCTTCACTCTGTGTGGCCCAGGCAAGCCAAAAGGTTGGACAACTGTATTGTAAACTATAAAAAACACATTGCACACCATATTTTACATGGCTAATAAAAGTCCAGTTGTGCCTCTTAACTGACTTTGAATTTACTTTTGTTTTGAAATGGCTTTGTTAATATTTCTGATAAAATTTATTTTAACATTTCAATATGGATTTCCCCTAAAGAGATTCATAGTATAAAACAGTGATGTCCCTGTCATATTTATTTCAAGATGGATCAAATAAACAGAGGGAATTAAAAGTTACTGTATTTTTTGCTGTATAAGACGCACTTTTCCCCCTCAAAAGTGGGTGGAAATGTCTGTGCGTCTTATACAGTGAATGTTGCTGAAGCCCCGCCCACCCTCCAGCCCCCCCACCCTTTGGCCTCTGCCTCCCAGAAATTTGCCTCCTTGCAGCAAACAGCAGACAGCATGGTCAGCTTCAGCACAGCCTGATTTAGCATGAACAGCTGATTGTCGGTTGGATCTGCCTCCCAGAATACCAACAATCAGCTGTTCCAGTCTGCTGGGATCACCATCGCCTATCACCGCATCCCCATTTTCAGCCTCCATGTGTCCTGTTTTTGGCCTCTGCATGCCCTGTTTTCAGCCTCCGTGCATCCCATGGGACACTCAAAGGCTGAAAAACGGGGCGCACAGAGGCGGGGATAGGCAGTGGCGATCCCTGCGATCACTGGGAGGAGGCAAATTGCTGAGAGGCAGATTTTTTTTTCTTGTTTTCCTCCCCCAAAGCTAGTGCGTCTTATCATTCGGAGCATCTTATAGTCTGAAAAATACGGTATATTAAGTTTTATGCCAAGTGTGTCTATCAATCGGCCAAAACACAAAATGCCTCTGAACATTTATACAGTATTTGCTTTTTTATTTCCTGATAGTCCTAACACAGTAAAGCAAAGATTTCCAACAATTTATTAACAAAACCTAGACTGCTGTTTTTCCAAAAAAAAAAAAAGAATTCTGCCACCCTGGTTAGGAAGGACATCTGCATGGCTCTTTATGTATCTACAGACTTTTCCAACAACTCTTTAACAAGAGTAGCAGCGACTCCCAACATACCATATCAGAGAGAGAGAGAGTAATTAATGTCATTTATTTTAAAACTTTTAGCATGACATCTCATGCCTGGATCTTATCAACCCAATTCATGTTTGTCTGCTCTTGAGTATCTTCAGAGAAAAATGTGATAGATTTGCTATTAAGTGTTCTTTCATACAGCTTGTTACAATCAACTAATGGTTATCTGAAGGTCCCTGAAGTATTTAGTGGAGAGAGATGATTCTCGCTGTATTCAAATTTATCTCAGTTTAATATCTCCTAATTACATCTCAGCACCAATTCAGATACTGTCATAAACAATGTGTCACGGAATTATTTAAACAGTCCCATATGTGGATGGATGTCATTTAAAAATTATTTGAGAGTAACTAAACACTTTCCTCAAATATCTGCATGGACAGTGCAGTTATTTCTCTCCACTGAATGCTTACAAGCAATGAAAAATTCTGCATGCCTGCCAATGGTCTGAAAAATATGATATAGCAGGTCAATATTACAAGGGGGAAAATGGGCTTCCTTGAAGAAGTTCCTTCTCTTTGCTTTGAATGTGATTTATGATGATTCCATGACTTGGCGAGCTCGAGAAGTAATATTTTGCATGCAATGCCTTGTAACGTAACAGAATGCAGGAAAACTTGGCAGAAAATAGCATTTTAATATTAACTGTTCCTTTTTCCTATCACAAACAGATTTATTTTGTCCAAAAAAATGTTATTTTGGCAACTCAAATGTAAAACAGATACTTGGGGGACTTGATTAATATTTCCAAAATAAACTGGTCAGGAGAGCTAGGATCTGGCTGAAATACTGATCAGAACTGTAGCACATGAACAGCACTGCACTTGCTGGAATAAACTTAGAGCATCTAAGAAAACATTCCCAATTGGCCATTTAAAACATGCATTAAGAACAGTGCCTGCTGTAAGTTCTCTGCTGCCATTGGACCTTCTGGCCCAATGTTGATGGAACAATCAAAATGTGGACTATGCTTTACAATGGATCTCATTGATGGGAGGGGAGCTGTCTTTTATGGGGTGAACCATTTGTTTAAGCTTAAAACATGGTTTGGAGGTTTTCTCCATTCTCAAACAAACATAGCATTTAAAAAGGACACCATGGCATGGTGGTGGTGTGGAAGTGTCTGCTCTGTATGATGAACTGATGTAGCCCCTACTGATCTACCCTAGAATCAGCTTTCATGAATGGTTCAAGGCCACTTTGAGGGGGCAGACATATTCTGGGCCAGAATTGCCTAAATTCAAGTGTTTGTAATTGTATTGCATGAATATTCTTACCCCCAAACAAGATAACTTTGCATTCTATAATTCATATATGTGTACCTTATATCTGAGGTGGTTGGAGATATCCAGAATAAAGGTGTGTGATAACACAGGTGGTATATCCATCTCTTGCCTTCTATTCCAGGATTATATATTCTACTTAGAGCCAGAGAAGTTGGAGTCAGGCAAAGGGAAATGCTCATATGACCCGAAGGTGGACACAGTATCAACATTAATAAGTGAGTTTCTTGGCTGTATAATATTCAGTCTTTCTAGGGAGTAATATATTAGTCAACAGAACTTTTAAATGAATACTCTGGTACCTCCTTGCATTTGAAGGAGCCACAAAATTCTAGATCTTTTTAAAAGCACCCAAAAAGTTGGTAGTAAGATATTTTTAAACTCAGTGAGTTCCTGAGAATTCTTACAAAGAAATGGAGTGAAAGCTATGTAGATTATGCTCGTTTATTTTTGCTTATTAAAGAAGCAAAATATAGGTTCTCCTATTGACCTAAACACTGAATTAATGCTTATTTATTTATTCAACCTATATGCCACCCCTCTCATCTGGAGGTGACTCTAGGTGGCTTACAATCATTAAATTGTAATGATTTAATATGGAATTTTATAGATAATTAGCAGAGCTATCAACTATTATTCTGTCACAATTCAAAGCATTAGAAACAGTCAAGATAGCAAATAAAAATGAAAGAACTAATAATTAAAATGAACAAGGCTCAAGAGTTCATTTTAAAGGTGAGTATGAGCAAACTTTGTAAAAGTAACAAAGACTTTAGGCCCTTCAACATTGCAGAAACTATATGCCCAAGAGATCACCACTGGATGTGGTTAAGTTCCCAGAGAATTCATCAAGCATTGAGATAAATAGTATTATGATTTAATAACTGTATATGCTGCTGATCTCACGGCACATGGGAGATGTTTTGTTAAATATTTGGTCCCAAACAATATAGGGCTTTAAAGACATCAGGATGCTGAATCCTTTTTAATTCCACTGATCATGCAGAGTTGCCATAATTTCTTTTTGCAGTTTTAACCTTCTTGCTTCATCTTTCGATAATCAACCGAGTGTGTGTTTGGCCATATGAAAGAGAAGGGGAGGAACATTGGTTTTTATCCTCCATTGCCTCATGCAGACTTTTCTGCTTTATGCACCTGCAGGTCGATTCCAAGCATGGACCTTCTCTGAACTTTGGCTAAGCAGTGTCTCCCTTTCCCTTTCCTGTCTTCTCTATCTCTTATGGGTGAACTCCAGCTCCACAGATCTTTTCCTTAGGAAGAGAGCTGGAGTTACAGAAGTTCACAGCAGGGAGATCATTAGGGGTGGTACCGTTGTCCCGCCTACCCCAGATTAACTACTGGTACAACAGCTGCACTGTATTTCCCTCCCCTCCCATCAGTTCCAGGACTGGCCAGAGTTTTTGCTTCCCACAAATCTCCCAGCCCCTTGATGTGGCTTGCCAGCCTCTGATTTTGTCCAGACACCAGTATCCATTTACAGGACAAGCCCTAAAGTTTAAAATTAATTTGGCAGCAGCTGGGAGCCCCCAGTTTGGGAAAAGCAAGAACTGTGCCCCTGTGCCAGTGCATCAGGGCCTGATGAGCGACCTTGCTAATACCATTTACGAAGTCCTCTGTTACGAGCTTTGGAACAGTAGCATCAGCAGGAAAGACCCATATTCCATACACACATGCTTCCCTGGCATGTTTGCTTAACAAAACTGCCCACTAAAAAATATGTTTGCTTTTTGCCCCAACAGTGTTTTAAGTCTTTAAGTGGAGGTGAGGGATTAGTAGAACAAGACCTACAGTACACACCCTGGGCTTCTTCTTGCCTTTAGTTTCCTAGCCCTCTTTATAATTTGGCAGAAACTAAGAGCTTGGCCTTGGACTCATTAATGAAATATTTAAAAGACTTCTAAGTTTGAATTAAACTTATCTTCTGAATATAGGGATTCGGTGGGGTTATCTTTGCAGGCAGCTTGGGACAGGGCATGGGAATTAGGGAAAAGTAAGGATATCTCTGTCCTTCACTCTTCCTCTTTCCCGTATCATTTTGCACAGTATTACTCTCTTTTGAGATATGGGCTACACAGTCCCTTCTACTGCTAGCTGCATGTACAGCATTTAAAATTTAGGTTGCCTATTGAAGCACTAACCTAAGCAGCAGGTCTTGTGACTAAAGGCAAAACTGTGACAGGGGAAATATGTTGATAATATCCCCATTCCACACACTTCAGCATTGTGATGGTTGGTCCCATTCAGGAAAAATAACTTTTGGATTCAGTTTCTTCTTCTCTTGACTTTATGTTAAACACCAAAATCGTCATTAAAAGTTCCTGTTCCTGTTTTCTAAGGTGGACCAGGGAATAATCTCCCTAAACATGTTTCCCTTCCCAATATTCAATTCATGTTTAGGTTGCCACCCACAATTTTTGTGTAGGGGAGGAGGCCAGGGGAAGCTCCTTTCTAATCTTCTTCTGCTCTTTTCATAGAATAGTATATAAAAATGCAGACAGTGCTCTCTTCTGTTTGTAGACATTCTGGGTTCCTTTGTTATCTTTCATTCAGCAAATCAGTGGAATGAGTAAATGGGCTTCCCAGCCGAATAGAGTATCCTTGCTTTGTTCCTAGAATAGAGGGTCATTTATCATCGTATAATTTAACTTTTCCAGCCCTAATACCCTCAACACGAAAATTGTATTGGGCAACTTTTTCCAGGACACTCTGCCAAAATGTCAATACAGTAATGAGAAGAAATCAATATGGCATCCCTTAGAACAGAACAATTGTGTTCTCTTCCTCCTCCTCCCCCTATTTTTGACCCTTGCTCACAGATGAAGACCTCTATGCTGGTGTCTACATTGACTTCATGGGCACAGATGCAGCCATCTTCCGCACTTTGGGCAAGCAGACTGCCATGAGAACTGACCAGTACAACTCTCGTTGGCTCAATGGTAAGTGAGGGGCATAACACAACAGAGTTTGTGAGGGAGGACAGAAAAGGAAATGGTGTTCGACAACTGAGTCCAGTGTACAGGCCACACTCTGGGGTGAAACTGATTTCTTGAAAATATTTTTTCTGCCTGAGGAGCAGCAGAAACATTGTCTGTGCAGAATACCTTCACTTTCTTTTGATTGCCCTCTGTTCCTTTAAGAAAGAAATACCACTTGGCACAACGATACACTAATTTGCTATCATTATGCTTGTGGGAGCACCCAGCAATCTCCTTCCTTATTTTTAAATCCCCTCTGCCAATGCACAATGTGGCATATTACTCTCCAGACCCGATTTCTTCAAAGTCTATGGTATCGTGCCATATCAACTTTCTATGATTGGTTTCTTTTATTTATCCATATATACAGCCTGCTCCTAACTCAGTTACGAATCTTCATTAAGCTCATTGGATCCAATCTCCCTTCTTGGTGCCCTGTGGGTCTTTTTTGTTATACTTCCATTCCCATGACACTCTACATATCCTTCTGCTATACCCTCTTTCATGTGATAGACACGTTTCTTTTTCAATCTTCACAATACATTGATTCCTTCTTTCTGTTCTATTATCCTTTGCTCATACTGTCTATCTAGGTCCAAAAAAATGGGATAGAGTTCTTTCATATATTTTTTTTCATGCTTGTAGCATGCACAGATCTGAAATGCCTCATGGGCGGGTGGTTCAAAAAGCACAGTGCTTGGGGAACACATATTTGTTTATCTGATGTTGCTCAATGCCAAACAACTCTGGATGGCTTATATTTTAAAAGCAAAAGCAATAAAATATTTTAAAAACCCCAATGATAGAGGTCTAGAAGAAGGAAAAAATCAACACAAAACAATTGAAAGAGGTTCCCAAGGCCTGGGAGAACAGCAAAGGCTCCTGCCTGTTTTGGAACATCATTAGAGTGGGAGCCATATGGATCTCTAAGGAGATACAATTGTAGAGGACAGGTCCAAATAGTTGAACAAATAGAGTAAACCTTGAGGGTGTCTACTTTGCACAAACTTACCAGATGTGCAGAAACAAGGGGAGATAGATCTCAAAGATCCAGGCTTCATAGATGATAACCAGTCCCTGGAATTCACCAGGAAGCCCAGAGGCAAACAAGCCAGCTTGTGGAGCAGCAGTGTTACGTGGGCAGCAGTGTTACATACCACACCACATCCGTCACTGCCTAGGCTGCTGCATTCTGGATCAGCTGTAGCCTCTGGCTGATCTTCAAGGGCAGCCCCATGTAGAGCAGAGTGCAGTAATCTGCAAACGCTAATTTGTTTACGCTTAGCAGATCAGATTGCGGAAGGTGACATAACTGTCCTAAGCGACAAATGACCTTTATATAATTTTGTTTAGCCAGCTGGGGAGGAGTACAACTATTATCAGCTGGGAGGCCCCTTTGTTTGCTTCCATGCCCGTGACATATCTCCCCCTTCTGTTAATTCAAAAGAAGGCTGTGTCTGGCATTACCCTTCCTTGCAAATTTGCCGGTAAAGGGCAGGTTTGTACTCTTGTCAATTCTGATAACTGATCCAGAGCATTTAATCCCTTGCCACATCTTCTCCAGCGTGCATTCTGGAATGGGAGCCAATAAGAAAAGATCTTAGCCTCCTGTTGGCTGCAACTCCAGCTGTTAAGGAACAGCACAAGCAGCTGAGTAAACTGAGGCTGAGTATCATGTTTAGAGGAATATCATTTTAGTAACCTGAAGAGACCTATCGTTGTAAGCAATGCTGGATTACATGGGCTGCTTGGCAATTCGTACTACAGATGCTCTAAAGAAAATAACCAAACTTGTCCAAATTGCAAGCCTCCTTAGAAATCCTTAGAAGGCTTTGAAAGTGAACAGGTGTTCTTGCAGCAACATAAATCTTATGGAAGAATCTCCTACAAAGGGATGTTTAGTACAAATTGGGAAGGTTATTGGAAATGGACATCAAAATAATCAGTTTGGATTTACAAAACATGCCATGACTTCAATGAGGAAAAGAAATGAGGGGACTTGATATGCTCAATGCAGTGCTCTCTATTTGGCTGCATGCAATAGAAGATATACGAAGACTTCCCAGTGTATTTCTGCCTACACAATCCCAGGCAAGTGAAAAAACTCCAAGCATGTCTTCTTCTTCTTCTTCTGCCTGTTTTACATAGACATCCCTCACTAGCTAGGTTTGCCAGGCCATGCAAACCAATCTTACATTTACAGGCTATATTTTGATTACCACATAATGCACAAATGCATACTGTTGCCAAGTTCTGCCCAACAACCTGCAAAACTTCCTAGGAATTGGACTGCTGGCTAGAACCAGTCATGCTCAATGCATGCCTGAGTGTTACATAATAGCTATCTCTAACCTGTAGTTGCAAATTCTAATGCAGCTTTTTTGTTCTTTTAGTTTTTTGTTCTTTAGTTTCTTTTAGATAGCACAGTTTATTATCTTACTATACTTGATTCATCAAATGAATTTTAGCTAAACTTTAATTTTAGTTAATCTAATAGCGCTTTTTATAGCAGTTTTATAGGTTTTCCCCTTACCATCTTTTAACTCTATAGTCTTCACAAACCTAGACTGTCCTTGTGTGATAAAAAGAGCCTCAATGACGCAGTGGCTAGAGTGCAGTATTACAAAACTACTTCTGCTGACTGCCAGCTGACTGCAATTTGGCAGATTGAATCCCACTAGGCTCAAGGTTGACTCAGCCTTCCATCCTTCTGAGATCAGTAAAATGAGGAGCCAGATTGTTGGAGGCAATATGCTGACTCTGTTAACTGCTTAGGGAGAGCTGTAAAGCACTGTAAAGTGGTATATAAGTTAAGTGCTATTGCTATAGTTACCAACTCTACATTCTCTGCGTTTTTACTTTATGCTAGTTAAAGTACTGGTAGTCCTCAACTTATAACAGCACTGGAAAAAGTGATTTATGACCATTTTTCACAATTATGGCCATTGCAGCATCCCCATGGTCACGTGATTTACATTCAGATGCTTGACAGCTGGTTCATATTTATGACAGTTGCAGTGTCCTGGTGTTATGTGATTATCTTATGCAACTTTCTGACAAGCAAAGTCAATGGGGAAGCCAGATTCACTTAATAACCTGATTGCTAATTTAACAGCTGCAGTGATTCACTTAACAAATGTGGCAAGAAAGGTCATGAAATGGGCATAACTGATTTAACAAATTTCTCACTTAGCAACATAAATTCCGGGCTCAATTGTGGTTGTAAATCGAGGACTACTTGTATGGGATTGTGGACTTGCAAACTGTGGCAGTTTAGCAAGGATGCAAAAACAATGTTTTAAAGCATCGCATTCTGGCATTGGAAAATTCAGAGCAGGTCCACACGAAAGAAGAATTTTAGTTGTAGTATGAAAAAAGATTTTGGTATATACCAGCATCAAATACACCTAAAGTATTTTATGAAGTCATCTACCACTGCTTGGCATCGATTTAAATATTTTAATGAAATATTTCTAGCTCTAAAAGTCATGAACTGATCCAAAGATACCCTAAACTAAAATTAAAGTAAAAAGATGATTTACCAAACATCTAGTAGAATTGAGAGGAGTCTGTAGAAATTTCTATAAAGGCTTAAACACAGAAATTTAAACAAAATTATAGTTTCAGATTATTATATTAATTTAATTAAGATCATATTACAGTTGCCAACAAATAGCTAAAAGGAAATTTTTTGACTTAGACGATCTGTGAATAGAACCTATAAATAATCTAATAATTCCAGCACTTTGTGATGGAAGCAAAATATATTGCCAGCAGGCCATATATGCATTTTGCTAAATGAAGGTACCGTATGAGTGGCTACACTGAAGCCATGACTGAATAAAACTTCATGAACTCTTTGTGACAGTGCAAAAGCTATTTTGATGTTTAGTGAGGATTTTGTAATGGCAACGATGGAAATGACCTTTCCATTGTAGCAGGAACCCTGGTGAAAACAAGTTCAGCAATATAGATTTTAGAGTTTGACATGATAGCCCAATTTTGGTTATCTTCAACTGAAAAGAAAACAGGTGTCCACAAATGGACCTGCAGAATTGAACAACTTACATGAGAGCAATATTCTGCTGACCTCCCCTGAAAACATAGACTATGTCCAAATAAATTCTGAATCTTCTAAGTTATTGTTGTTTTTCTGAATGTAGCCCAAACCATGCAATGAAGAACTGTCATATATTATCTGAAAAGAAGCTTCATTTCTTTTCTTAACCATCCTATGTGCAGCTAAACTGCCGTGGACACCTTTTTTTTTAATGCTAATACATAGGATGGGTCTATAGGAGCTCAGCAGAAAATAAGCTGATGCAAGAAATAAAGCAATGAGTGTGGTCTCTATTTAGATAAGGGAACGCAGAACTAACAAATTTGGAACAGTTTTGTTGCCTAAATTTTGAGAAACACTACCTCAGCACTTTTATCTATGCATTCCTGTTCACTCTTTCAAGCACTGCTGTGTGAGTAAATAATTCTTTATCTCCTCACTAAGTGTAAACTGTTTAAATCATAATTAATTTACAGAGTTAAACCTTTAAGGCAAATTGCATGCTAAAAGTCAGTAAGAAAGGGACTAAAAAATCAAACTATCGGCGTAGCAATGTTCTTATACAAAACTATACATCCACATCTACAATATTGTGTACAATTCTGGTGGCCACATTTGAAAAAGATTTATACCGTGTTTCTCATATAATAAAGCCGGGTCTTGTTGTTTTTTTTTGAGCCCCGAAAAAATGGCTAGGCTGTCTTTTCAGGGGGTGACTTAATCCCCTCCCCTTGCATCTTCAGGTGGGCGGGCGGCGATGGCTTGGATGTTGACCTTGGCGTTGGTGGGGCACTTCGTATTGGGGTCAACGCAGGCAGCACCAAATCTGGGTGTGCAACAAAAGTACTTCCTAACCGCAAGCCCCCTGCCATTTCCCCCCATTTCGCATGTTTTAATATAGGCCTTAATTTGGGGGGAGGGGCTTAATTTCATTTCACGCCTATAAAACATGCTGGGACTTCCTATTGGGGGAGGCCATATTGTTGGAGAAACAGGGTAACAAAGCTGAAAAAATGCAGAAGAGGGCAATCAAAATGATCAGGGACTCTTTCCCTTTAAGAAAAAGCTGAGTCTTTACACAGCATGTAATTAAGCTATGAATCCATCACCACAATATATGGTTGTGGTCACTAATTTCAATGAGTTTTTAAATAGACATTCAAGGAATACAGATCTATGGATTCAGAGTCCCAAGACTGTGGGTTGTGTATGGCAGGCTTCACAATTCAAGAGAGCCAAAGCAGGAAATTGACATGTCTCCATCTCCTCTTGTGAACACCCAAAAGGCCACTGTAAAAAAAAAAACCCAAAATGTAAGAAAAAAAATTGACCTTTGCTTGATTCAGCATTTATATAGGAGGAATATAAATATATCCCTTCCTCTTCCTGTTTTCTCCACTACAATAACTCTGTAAGGTTAGTTGTTATTAGCAAATCAATATATTGCACCCAAACCAATTCTGTTAGATCTAGTAGTCCTAAATTCTGCAGTGAAAAAACAACAAAACCAACACATTTAAAATGCTTCTTTTTATACTCAATTATAATTCCAATATTCTATTAGGATCCAGAAAGTTCAACAAATTACTTCACAGATTTAAAAAAAAACACCACCAAGATTAGTTTGAGCATGCACTATGAGAATGGAAATACAAACTAGTGCCTGTGAATCTTGCTACAGCTGCATTATTAAAATTGCTTCTATTTTTTGACCACATAATATATCTTCTAACTTTTAGGGAGGCAAGGATTCCAATTTAAAGCCACTTTAGTGTAGTAGTTAAGGCAGGGGTGGGTTTCTACCGGTTCTGTCCACCTCTGTAGAACTGGTAGCTCTGAAGAGCAGCAGACATAGAACCGGTTCTATGTCTGCTGATGTTTTTGCCCACCCGCCTACCCGGGCTCTTACCTGATCTTTATTTCCCGATTTTCCTTTATTTCCTGATTTTTCAACTTCAGCTGCTAAACGAGGCAGTTAAAAAAGCAGGAAAAGAGGACTGTTTCAAAGGCTGCTTCTCTTCACGCATGCTGATGACGATTTACAGGCACCTGGCTCACAGTGGTGCAGGGAAGCACATCATAAATCACTGAACCTTGTAAATCCCAAACCGGTAATTAACCCTGTTGTATCCCATTCCTGAGTTAAGGCATTAGGCTAGAAACTGGAAGACCGTGAGTTCTAGCCCCACCTTGGGCACAAAGCCAACTGGATGACCTTGGGCCAGTCACTTTCTCTCAGCCCTAAGAAGGAGACAATGACAAACCACTTCAGGAAAACCTTGCCAAGAAAATTGCAGAGACTCATCCAAGCAGTCACCAGGACTACAATGCTGACTTGAAGGCACACACACCCCCTCAAAAAAAAAAAAGTCAGATCGGGTTTCTGGTATGTGAACACAGATGTTTCAAGCTAATTTCCCCATGTGGGCTATTCAAAAGAGACATTGCAGGTCAAGAAAGAATTCTGCAAACGAAATATGTGCTCCAAAAAGTAAGACCCAACTTTTGGCATGCAACAACTTTATTTCAGTCTAGATCATTTTTCAACTGAGAATTTAATTTCAGATAAAAGAATCATGTCCCAGACAAGGCTACAGAAAACGTGAGGCAAATAGCTGCAATTAACCGAACAAGCGATATGTTCCATTGTAATATGCTAGGAAAAATTGCCAGTTGATAGAGTTTCGAGCCAGTTAACTTGGCAGTGCTTTGTATTCTGGAACAATAAGATAAGTTCAAGCCTTAACTATAGCAGATTTGTAGCATGAAAAGAAAATGGAAGATGTTCCTTTTTTGGTGGGTGAATCCAGACACCAAAATGCTGCTGAGGAATTGTACAGGTGTTATTGCATCTGTATTCTCTATTTTCTTAAAGGATATGCTGAATATCCCATTTGGCTTCTGAGTTTCAGATGGGGAACTTGTGTGGCAAAATGTAGCTATTAGGCTCCAGCCATGTGTTTCATTATTTTCCCCTTCAAATTGAAAGTTTGGGTACCATTGCTGTAAATTTCTGGAGACTGGGAGGAATATTTGGAGACTATTTCCCCAATTCTTTTCTCCTCGTAATTGTATTGGTATTTCCCCCCTCTGCAGATCCAGCATTTGTCCATGCAAAGCTCATCCCAGACAGTGCTGAGAAAAATGATGACAAACTATATTTTTTCTTCCGAGAAAAATCCACCGATTCTCCACAGAGCTCAGTTGTCTACTCCCGCATTGGACGCATTTGCTTGGTGAGTGCAGAAAAAGAACCAGACTGGGTGATGTTGACAGTTTCCCATATTTAAAAATAAATCTACATAAGAGATGAACCCTAAACATTCCCCAATCCGTCTTTGTCAAAAGCTAAAAACCTCCACTGCCCTCATTGTTATCATACCTCTTAACAAACTTTGGTGTATTTTTCTATAGCTACTGGTAGAATATCTGTTGCCTCTCTTGCTCTCATAATTTTCCCCTGTGGGACATTTTTTTAAAAAGTCTAATATTTCAGTTTAAAAGCAAGCCTAAAAATAAACCCTATTGATTCCAGCATTTTATTTATTTTTATTTATTTTATTTTGTCAAGCAATTTTAGGATAACAGGTATAAGTATAAACATAGTTATGAATACATGAAATGGATAAAAGAAAAAGAAACAATAGGACAGGGACGGTAGATACATTGGTGAGCTTATGCACGACCCCTACAGACCTCTTAAGAAAGGGGTGAGGTCAATAGTAGACAATCTAAGATTAAAGTTTTTGGGATTTGGGAAAGAAACCACAGAGTCAGGTAGAGTATTCCAGACATTGACCATTCTGTTGCTGAAGTTATATTTCCTGCAATCAAGTTTGGTGCGGTTTACCTTGAGTTTGTATCTATTGTGTGCTCTTGTATTGTTATGGTTGAAGCTGAAGTATTCACTGACAGGTAGGACATTGCAATATATAATTTTATGTACTATACTTAGATCGGACCAAAGGTGGTGTAGTTCTAGGTTTTCTAGGTCTAGAATTTCAAGTCTGGTGGATAAGGTATTCTGCAATGAGTAGAGGAGCGGAGAACTTTTCTTGTGAAATATTTCTGGACTTCCTCAACTGTGTTAATATCAGATATGTAATGCGGGTACCAGACTGATGAGCTGTATTCAAGTATTGGTCTAGCAAATGTTTTGTATGCTCTAATTAGTAGTGTGATATTACAAAAAAAAAACTACGCATGATTAGGTTAACAACTGTTAATGCCTTTTTGGCTATGTAGTTACAGTGGGGTCTACACTTAGATCATTAGAGATGAGTACTCCAAGGTCCTTGACAGAGTTTGGATCATCAACAAGATCTTGACTATTCAGCCTGTATTTTATTTTCTGATTTTTTTTGCCAATATGTAAGAACATTTATTTGTTGAGATTTGAAGTTGCCATTTGTTTGACCATTCTGATACATAGTCGAGATCTTTTTGAAGGATAGCAGTATGGTTGGTGATGTTGAATAGCTTTACATCATCAGCGAAGAGAACGCAATTCTTAATATGATCACAGAGGTCATTTATGTAGAGTATGAAGAGAGTTGGTCCTAGAACACTGCCTTGTCACACCACTGTTGACAGGTACAGAATTTGATAGGACGCTCCCAATTTTGGCCATTTGTTGTCTGTTTGACAGGAATGCTTCTATCTAGTTATGCAGGTGTCCAGAGATACCATAAGGTTTTAGTTTTCGTAGCAGTTTGTTGTGTACCACTGAATCAAAGGCTTTAAAGAAGTCTATGTAAATTGAGTCTATTGCTTTGCCTTGGTCGAGTTGTGTAGTCCATATGTTTTTGCAGTGTAAGAATTGCAGATTACAGGATAGTTTTTTTCTGAAACCAAACTGTTTGTTAGAGAGTAGGTTGTTTGTCTAAGTGGAGGATGATGGATTGGTTAATAATTGATTCCATGATTTTGTAGGTGACGGAGCATAAAGAGATTGGTCTGTAATTTTCAACTAGGCTGGGATCTCCCTTTTTGAAGATGGGGATGACCATGGCTAGTGACCATAGTTTTGGCAAGGAGCTGGTCCTGAAAAATTTTTCAAAGATTATGCTTAGAGGTTCAGCTATAGCAGTGGATAGCTTTTTAAAGAAGTAGGCACATACTCCATCCAGTCCAATAGATAGAGATGGTTTTAGATTGCGTAGTGCTTTTTCAACGTTGTCTTCTGTAAAATCGATATGTATTAGATCTTTGTAGTTGTCAGTGGTTCAACTAGGAAATACTGTTTACAAATAGTGAGCCAAAGAATGTGTTAAAGAGGTTGGCTTTAATGGTGTCTTCGTTGCATTCTTTACCATTAGGTCCTATCAGGGGTGGGATTGACCTTGAGTCTTTTAGTTTGTTGTTTACAAAATTGTAGAAAGCGCGAGTAGAATTGGTGCGTAGAAGGTTTTCCTCTTGTTTAATGTGATAATTGGTGCATTCAGTCTTTATCTGGTGGCATAAATTTTTGTATTTGCTTTTGAAGTTGGCAACATGACTAGATTTGTTTTTCCACCAAAGTAATTTCTTTTTGGATTAGTTATGGCTGGGTTGCAGATAAAAACTACAGATTCTATGGCTTTTTTTAAAAAAAATCACAACATTTATATCCTAGCATAGCAAAGTTGCCGATAAAAACTGTAGACTCTGTGACTTTAAAAAAAAAAATCACAACATTTATATCCTAGACAGAACATATAGGACTTCTATGTTGTTCATTATGTCAACAACCTGGTGAAGTGAGTTTTGCTGAGAGCAAGAGTGACAAGCCCACCCTTAACCAGTGAAATTCCATGGTTGAGATAGAATTTCAACCTAAATCACGGCTCTTCTTTGGTTTAGAATGACGATGGAGGCCATTGCTGCCTAGTAAATAAATGGAGCACATTCCTAAAGGCACGACTCATCTGTTCTGTCCCGGGGCCGGATGGAATTGAAACACACTTCGATGAACTCCGTATGTATATTCATGGCAGGGATTGTGTGTGTATGTGGGGGGGGGGGGGGGGAAAGAGATGAGTGAGTATGTAAGGGAGCCATTGAAGCCCTAAGCAATTTAGGAGATGGCCTAGCCTGCAACGCTCAGACAGATTTCCCACTGGCAGCCAATAGATTGAATCAGCTCTGTAGACTGTTCTGGGGAAGAAAATGAAAAAAAAATTTCCCCAAATTCTAAATAAAAACGAGGACAATTTTCTGTCAGAGTGCAGAGCTAAGATTTTTTTAGTTGCTATACTTAAATATGCTTAAGGAAGAAAAATATACTGAGGTTTATTTTCAGGATATTTGCTAATACTTCATCTCTGTCGTCCATGTGGATTATAGATAGTGGAGCTACTTTAGGTTACCGCAAGGTGTCAAGCTGGGGAAGTCTGTCTTACATGCAAAGTATCCCACAAGTTCATTGAGTAAATGATATATAATCTGGACAATTTTTTTTAAAAAAAATAGTATGGCTTGAAGAGACAGCAAGCACATCCATTTAGATTCATGAAACCATGGATATTTCCCTAAAATCAAGACAACTAAACCAGCATTTGGAATGATTCCATAAACATTAAAAGGAAATTTGGAAACTTTTGATGGTTAAGATTGAAGGTCAAAGAAGGGGAGATAAGTAATAGTAGCAGCAATGGCTTTTGACGGGGGGTTTTAAATGTGTGATTTGTCAGCCATGAATGAAATGCTTTGCTGAAAAAAAAAGAAGTCACTTTTCTCAAAGCAAATCTGTGTGCTGCTGTCCTCATGTCCTACCTGCAGGCTTTCTGGAGATGGCAGTTTAGATGGCTGTTGTAGGAAACAGGACATTTGTCTTAAAATAGGCCTTTTCTTAAAGGATCCCCTTTGATACAAGCAGCTCTGTAGCAAAACCTGTTGGTCAGATTCATTCTGGAAGCCCATCACAATTTGTTTCTTTGTGTTACATCGACTAGCTTGCAGCACTGGCTGAAAAGGAAGGATGATTGGAGAAAAAGGAAGCTTTGAGTTACCAGATATAAAGATCGGGGCTGGCTTTGAGATAATAGAAGCTCATTCAAGCAGGGAGCCTGCTTAACCTTCCGACAGATTGTTGTATTTGGGGGCAAAGTGAAGACGAGGGGCTCCAGGATGGGTGTGATTAATGTTGGGGATCCCATTTGCTAGAAAGGCAGCCGCAATCGCTTAGTAGTGGGCTGCTTGTCAGCTTCCTCTCAACACCTGCTTAACAAATGGCTGTTGGTCATTCGAGGATAAGTCCCATTGCAGCTTTTAGCATCATCAAAAGCCTTTGATGGATTCTCTCCTGCCAGGGTACAAGTTAGCATTGGGCCTTCCCTATGCTTGCTTTGCTTCACTTCCTCAAAATTATTACCAGACGGTTCACAGGCAATCTTAATTCCCTGGGTTCTTCTGGAATCTCTTGGCAGGGCTCCTGCTTGCTTACCGGAAGGGTCTCTTCGATCGGCATCTGAGGCTGAATTAGAAGCAACATCTGCATACTTTCCTGTAATTTTTGATTCCCATTTGGAACTGAAATGAGAGGTTAAATAAAAACTGAAAGTTGAGCATGTCTGAAAATCTGTTGAAACATGCCAAAAAAAAAAAAAAAGAGTGTGCTTTTAGACAATCCAGGTCTAATGATCATTTCTTGTATTTAAACATTTTTTTTTCCTAATCCAGCATAATAAAAAGGATGTATTTGATTCTTATTAGACGTTCGTTGGAGAGTAGTTTTTAATAGATGAATGGTATTTGATTTAACCTCTGTCATCATCCAATAGACTCAGATCTCTTCTGGTCCACTACAACTTTGCATCTACTTAAAGCTCCTTCATGACTTTATGTAGAGCCGTGGTGGTGCAGTGGTTAGAGTGCAGTACTGCAGGCTACTTCTGCTGACTGCCAACTGACTGCAATTTGGCCGATCAAATCTCACCAGGCTCAAGGTTGACTCAGCCTTCCATCCTTCTGAGGTCGGTAAAATGAGAACCCAGATTGTTGGGGGCAATAGGCTGACCCTGTATACCACTTAGAGAGGGCTGTAAAGCACCGTGAAGTGGTATGTAAGTCTAAGTGTTATTGCTATAATGCTGGGCTGGGTTGAGCTGGGGTTGCTTGTTTTGCCAAAGACCATGTGTTTCCTGACTATTTGCACCACTTTGTATCACAGAATTATATACTAGAAGAAACAGGGAATGCAAAGCCCCAAATCTATTTCTCTTAAGCTACCGTAGATTTGATTTTTTAAGCACCCACACCAGGGTGGGATTCAAATTTTTTAACAACCAGTTCTGTGGGCATGGCCAGGTGGGCATTGCTACGTGGGCATGGCCTGTAACTGCATGGGCGTGGCTTCTCTCTTTTTCTGCAGCACCCACCCCCATTTTTGAATCTCCTGGGCCTCAGGGAAGCCTCCTTGGGGAGAGCGCATTTTTTGCTCTCAGGAAGCTTCCATGGGACCCAGGAAGGTAAAAAAATGGAGCACAGGGGAGGGGGTGCACAGCAAAAAAAAACAAAAAATCCACACGCCCCTTTTTGCCTCCTGGGCCTCAGGGGAGCCTCCTGGGTGAAGCAGTAAGACAGCGAGGGGAATGTTGGCACAGCTGATCATTGGAACAGCTGATTGTCAGGAGGGGAAAAAAAGGAAATACCTTAAGGAGTTACTGGGCAGGGGAGAATGCAGACAGTGATGTTGGGCATAAGAAATGACTGGGCAGGGAGGGGAGGGGAGGGCGGAGAGGGGCCAGCCAGGAGCATGATTTGCTGGTTCTCCGAACTGCGCAGAATCACAACAACCAGTTCTATAGAACCAGTCCGAACCGGTAGAACCTCACCCCTGATCCACACCAAAGATAGGTAGCTCCACAAAACAAAAAAGCCAGAATATTAGCCAAAAACATTGCTCGCAGGATATCTGGGTTAACTTAAGATTCCTTTGATTATCTACTGCTGAATCACCAGGACAGTTAGTTGTGCTGTGTGATTGACTCTCTCCTTTCTCTTCAAGAGGATGTCTTCATCCAGCAGACCCAGGATGTGAAGAATCCCATTATTTATGCTGTTTTTGCAGCCTCTGGGTGAGTGTTTCATCTACTACTCATAATAGCCTATCTTTTCACCTTCTTGAGCAAAATCCCCCGGCTTAACTTGAAGTCAAAATAATGATAAAAGCAGATGCCACTGACCCCATTCTGTGAATATTGGCCATCTACTCCCTGCTGAACCAAGGAGGGTTTGGAATGAAGGTTGGGTTGTTGTAGAATTTTCTGGCAGTGCTGGAACACAGCCCAGAAGTATTGGCTGCCAAGAAAAGTGTAGGGTTTTCCCACAAACTGCACCCTAGCAGCTGTAGCTGAGGCTTGATCATTCAGGGAGGAAGATAAATGATGTCTCCTCCCGCTTTCCAAGATACATTTTTCAGATAACAGCTAATCAGAGTTGGAAGGGACCTTGTAGGTCAGCTAGTCCAACCCACCACCCAAGCGGGAGACCCTGCACCATTTCTGACAAATGGCAGTCCAATCTCTCCTTGAAAGTCTCAAGTGATGGCGCTCCCACAACTTCCGAGGGCAAGCTGCTCCATTGGTTGATTGTTCTGTCAGAAAGTTTCTCCTTATTTCCAGGTTAAATCTCTCCTTGTTCAGTTTCCATCCATTATTCCTTGTCTGGCTTACAGGCGCTTTAAAAAATAGCTTGACCCCTTCCTCTCTGTGGCAGCCCCTCAAATATTGAAAGACCACTATCATGTCTCCCCTGGTCCTTCTCTTCACTAGACTAGACTTTTGCTCAGAAGGATCAAGGAAGTATCATGTAGCCTTAGATCAGCAGGCAGTAGCAGCAGCAGCAGCTAATGTCATTTACCTCCATGCTTCTAACTGTAATGACTGATACTGGAATATTATTTTGTTGAGAACATGGCAGGATAGCTCCAAAACATCTATTTGAGACTGGCCTCAAACCCCAACATTGCTTTGTCTTTCTAACACTGATAACAGTGTCCCAATATCTAAACAGCTGCCACAAAGGAGAGGGAGTCAAGCTATTCTCCAAAGCACCTGAGAGCAGGACAAGAAGCAATGGATGGAAACTAATCAAGGAGAGAAGCAACCCAGAACTAGGGAGAAATTTCCTGACAGAACAATTTATCAGTGGAACAATTTGTCTCCAGAAATTGTGAATGCTCCAACTCTGGAGATTTTAAAGAAGGGATTGGATAACCATTTGTCTGAAATGGTATAAGGTTTCCTGATTGAGCCGGGGGTTGGACTAGAAGACCTCCAAAGTCCCTTCCAACTACCCCAACCTTTTGGAAATCCTGAATCCCAAGAGCTTGCCAGCAACCAAAGATGGATGAAGAAGAATATTCCCCCATTGAAACTGAAGGGCAGGTAAAAAAATACAAATGATACCCAGTATTTTCACATGAAAGAGATTATTAACATCTGAGATGAACGTGCAGTTGTTGTTTGTCTTTCTTTGCACAGGTCTGTGTTTAAGGGTTCTGCCGTGTGTGTCTACTCCATGGCTGACATCCGCATGGTCTTCAATGGACCGTTTGCCCACAAGGAAGGTCCCAACTATCAGTGGATGCCTTACACTGGCAAAATGCCTTATCCCCGTCCAGGCACCGTAAGCATGGGTTAGATCTCCAGCAGGTTCCTTCTCTCAGATTGCTGGCCTTGGGATGTTGATCTCTCTTCCTGATGAAAATATATGTTCTCCTAAGAATACCCATTTTATATATCACCATTTGCCCTTTGGATATATACATCAACAAATATTTATGGATCGGCAAGATATGTAGAGTGTGTGAGAGACAGAGTGGCCACAATACACACATTAAGACTCATTCGTGTGTACACTTACATTAGTAGAATTCCTTTGAAGTGAAATTCATTTATAGGGGGAAAAGGTTCTTTAGATCAGTGGTTGCCAACTGGTGGGCTGGGGACCACTGTGGTCTGTGAGAAAATTTCGATGGTCCACAGAGAAATGTCCCCCACCCCCAAAGCAATACAGGCTGTGCAGGAACACAAGTGTACCTATGTGGCCTGCCCACCCGCTGGCCCCCATCTTTGGCCAAGTGCAACCCTTACCTTGAGTAGAGCCACGCGAGCTGGAACTGGAAGGTAAGACTAACGGCAGGGGAGGGAAATACGCCCCAGGGGGGCCTTGCTGATGTTGGTGGGAAAGTCGGTCCCATATTCCAGAGCTTCAGTAGTCACAAGACTGGCCCTTTGGTCATCCCAGAGCAGCTCCTCCTATCCATGGCAGGCCGGTGCACCGAGGTGGAGGAGCAATTGCTCTGGGATGACCAAAGGGCCAGTCCTGGGACTACTACAGCTCTGGAATATAGACTTTCCCACCAATATCAGCAAGCCGCCGTCAGTCAAAATTCATATTAGTGGTCTGCGGGATTTAAAATTATGAGTTTGGTGGTCCCTGAGGTCCAAAAGATTGGCAACCCCTGCTTTAGATGTTCTTTGGCACCTCTAGCTAAAGGATTTTAAATACCAGGGCTAATAAAGAAGATCTTTAAATAAAAACTCAGAGAAATACTCCATAGTTGTGCAAGCTAGAAAGTCCTGAGTGCTAACTAAGCTCTTCCCCTTTCTGCATTATTCACAGTTGCATGAAAGACATTGCCGATGACATTCCCTGTTAGAAAATGTCTTAAGCTGTTCTTCCTGTTGCTCCAACTCCTGCTCTGGTAGCCCAGTTTCTCTTTCTCCTTTGGTTCCCCTTCTGCCTGCATGCTGGGATTCTCTTGACACTTCACTGCATTTCTTTCCCGGTGCTTCCCCAGCCTCTTTTGTATCATGTCCTTTGGTGCCGGCACAGCTCATCTCTTTCAGTGCTCGACATTTGGCCACCACGTGTGAGGCTGATTAGCATTTCCTCTCTAGATTGGTGGTCCCTCATTTACTGGCATCCTTTCTTTGTTGGCAAAATATTCCAAAATAAGGAGAATTCATTGTTTGGCTCAGAGAGTGTGGTTTTCCAGTCTCTTTTACTTCTACAACCCCCCAGGGCCCAAAAAAGAAAAGAAAAGAAAAACCCAGTCTTTGCTATGTATGGGGAGGCTTCCAGAAAACCCAAGGAGCAGGCTAGGTTTGGCTCCCACCGCTGAACAGCTGCTTCAGATGGGATTGTGAGGGTTTATTTTTTATGAGCATTACTAAAACACTCCACAATCTAAGAATTACAGTGAAGTTAACAAATGAGAGATGCACAAAGACATTTCAGCCTAAGCGGGTCAGCCTGGAAAAGCAATGAAAAGTAAACCGAGGGATCTGCTGAAAGAGTTGGATCTCTTCGAGGCTGAGGAGATCTGATGGCTCCACTCGGCAACAAATAATCTTGCTCTGTAAACTCCTCAAACCTTTCCTTCTCCCAGAATGAAACCATAAGTTTATTTTAATTTAATTGGCAAGTTTACATCTTGCTTTTCTATTCAGAGAAATACCCAGGAAAGCTAGTGACAAAAATATAAAAATACCAAACAAAAAATTGCAAAAGCATGCTAACATGAACGTATGCAGGCCTATCCCACAATACTTTGGTAGCTGATTCTTGTGCCTTCAGGTGAGGAGCAAAGGAGAATTCTTTTATGGAAAGCAGCCAAGGTGCCTCATCTCTATTCATAAGAATTATATCCTACTTTTCTTTCAGGAGCTTAGAGTAGCACACTTCACCCTCTCTCCTCCAAGTCTTCCTAAGCTAAAAGAAAGTGAGCTTCCATGGCTGATGGTAGGGATATGTACTTGGCCATTATACTACACCAGGCCATAGAGGAAATTATACAGGGAGTGGGGGGGAAATAGAAAGCACTTGAAGTGTTGATTTCAATATATCATCATTTATATATCGCCTGAACCATATCTCATACTATTTTTGCCTTGGTTTTTCAGTGTCCCGGGGGAACATTTACACCCTCAATGAAATCAACCAAGGACTATCCTGATGAGGTGATCAACTTCATGCGCACTCATCCAATGATGTACAATGGTGTCTACCCCATACACCGCCAACCTCTTGTGGTGAGAACCAACGTCAAGTACAAGTTCACAACTATAGCTGTGGACCAGGTGGATGCAGCTGATGGACGCTATGAGGTGCTTTTCCTGGGCACAGGTACCCACTGATGTGCATTGAAAAGAATACACAGCACTTCCACCCACCAATCCCCAGCCTGGAAGATGAGCATTTGGGGTTTATGCAAAAGCAGTTAGGATAAGCAGGCTAGGGGTATTCACCTAAACTTTTCTGTATCTCCTCTTCTTCCAGGTTTTAGTAAATTTTGGAAGTAATTTATCTGACAATGCAATTAGTTGGAAGACAGTAACAGAGTTATCAAATTTCAACTCCAACTTTTCCATTTGTACTAGAATACTTTTTCAGGAGCACAGGAGAACATTGAAAATTCTGCTTATTCAAGACCTTCTTTGGAGAAGTCAGAGGAATTCAGGCTAGCATTTACTACTCCATAAGTCACAGTTCAGAGTCCTCTTCTATATAGAATTGATTTCTTATTTCCTATGGTTTCCTGTATCACTTGTGAGGCTGTTCCAGATGCAAGAACAGAATTCTAGTAATATTCCCTCAGTTTGAATGAATAAGAGTGCTCCTCTTTGACTTTAACAGAGCAAAAATATGTCAGCAAGGATTCCAATAAACATGCCCTTCTAGAAGCTCCAGAGTAGAATTTATCTGAGCCAGCAAAGTTCCTACCAGATGTGTTGGGCTCCAATGCCCATAATCCTGAGCCTGGATGGAAAGGCTGAAATCCATCATTCATATTTGGAAGACTATTAAGAAAGGCTGATGTAATATTATCTGCCAATCAGGCAATGTTGACCCATCATTCTCCAAAGCTTTGTTGGAGGTATAATTAACTCAAAGCATACAATTTGCACATGTCCAAGTCTCCACTGTGGTGAATGGAACAGTATTTCTGATTACTTTAAACATAAAAAGAGTTCTAATGACATGATTGATCAAAGTGTAGAATTAATATAGAGGGAAGGCATGGCTAGCAGATGTTCCTTGCACTGGGCTGAATCTGATGTAGTTGAGTTATTTGCCTGCCACAAGTCAAAGGAGACCAGCCAACAGGGCAAGCAGGTGGCCAAGAATACTAATAACCAAGGATGTTCCTCATTAGCTTGCAAATATTGTTGCGTGTCTGCACAGTTATTCTTTGGGCTGCCCAATTCACTGCACAACATCCAGCAGCTGTACACAGTCTGGCCATCACCTGTTGAAGTCTGCAGGGAATTTCTGCTTCTAGCTAAAGGTGTCAATGAATCTGCAGATCTTAGTTATTTCCTGTTGCAGAAAGAACCAAGTTCAGGGATCAAGGTACTGTCTGGTGGAACTCATGGCTGTGCGTGGCATTCAATACCAAAGGCAGAAAGAAGAGGAATGGCTTGGATACTCAGATAGAGATTCTTGCTTTTAATATCATCTCCAGCCATTGAATTCATAACAAAGTTCAACATTCAGAAGTCAGTCTCGTGAGTTCATTGTCAAAATGTTGAAAAGGAATAGCTGCCAACCCCACTTCTCTGTTTCAGACTGTGTCTAATATTTTCTCAGAAGCATCTGTGTCTGATTTCTAAAATGAGTTCCAAAAAAGTAATCATAAGGACCAGTATTTCTAAAAAAAATTTATCATTTAAATTTGAATATTGCCAGTTGAAGTCTTTAGATATAGTTACAAATATTTCCCTCACTTTGAAGTTATATCCACACATGTCACAAAATCCAAAATGGTGTTGGTGTTTCATAAGACGAGGCCCACTTCAGCCTTGTAGAAAGCACTCAGAACCCATCTTTCAACATAAACTAGGTAGCAACTATCAAAAGTCTTGTAGAAGAGCATTCATAATTAAATATTCTTCTCCATTTCGTTTTTAAAAATTTTTCTTCCAGGTGGTCATTGTGAGAATAGCCAATTTGTTTGCTTTCTTGCAATTTTTTTGCTTTACTCTTGCAAGTAAGGCTGAGCAAGTATTTTCTTTCAAAGTAATCCTAAAGTCAGGAATCATCTTAGAGATGGATGAAGATCTTTCTCATTTTCAGTTAACTGAAGAGGAAGATCTTGCAGAGATCATGATTACACATCCGTTTCAGCCCCATGCTACTTGCTATGATTGTTATACTGGGAAGCCAAGTTGGTATAAAAATGAAAACGTTCTACAGAATAATGAAATGAGGGTCCACTTTAAACGTATGTTTATTAACATTTTTAATGAATATTGACTTTGTGCTGTAATCCTTCTTCACCACGAGCTGGCTCATGAAATCCATAGCCCATGTGGAGAAAAGCATCTTCCACTTTTAAACACACACACACACACACACATACAGAGCCATGCAGTTCTTTGAGGTTCATATAAACTGAAAAAAGTATCAGTGCAGAATTTGCTTTATAGAACATGCAGTTCTTTTTTCTTAGGTTTTAATTATTTCTGATCATTATATAATGTGCTTGTTAGATTTCTTTTCTTCATCTCACGATTATGGGATGTTCTGTAGTTCTGTAGACTTGTGACAGGAATGAGCCTTTTTTGTGGTGGCAAAATTATGAGAAAACCTGTCAGTTCAACCAGTTCTTGTACAGAACATGAAAGCTGAATAAAACTCGAGCAAAGTTCTGTTATGACATCAAGCTAACCAGCCATTCCTGCCAGACACTTTCCAAATATGTAGATACTACCCTTTTAAAAGTTGTTAATGCTAGTTAAAATGGAAACCACACAAAAGAGAAGACCTAAATAAAGCCTGTTTCTGTTGTGTTTCAGATCGTGGGACTGTCCAGAAAGTCATAGTTTTGCCCAAAGATGATTTGGAAACAGAAGAACTGATGCTAGAAGAGGTTGAGGTGTTCAAGGTACAGATGATGATTACCTTACTCTAAAGTTTTAATTACATGTGTGCTTGAGAGCAGGAATAATGTTGTGGCATAATGGAAGCTGTGAAGGTCATTGTTCGCATTTCAGTTCAGCTATGATTTTACTAAGTAGCTATGTTTTTTGCAATATGGAGTCTGGATGGTGATCTCTGATTGGATCAGTATGGTGGTTGGGAATCCATCCTGAATGCTTAGAATTGATATAATGAAATTGCAGGCCCGGATTTCTCATTCTCCCAAGTTTTCATATAATATTTTTAATTAGCATGGATGCAACACATTAATTGGACTACTTCCCCTAAACTATTTCAGGGACCACCCATTCGGTTTTATACGAAAGGGACCGCCCATTCGGTTTTTATACATTATTGATTAACTGTTTGGTTTCTCTACAGGTTCCAGCCCCAATCAAGACTATGACCATCTCTTCCAAAAGGGTGAGTACTCTCTTCCTGAGAGTGTCTAAGGAGATTCTCTATCATCCAAGTAATGGTTGTCCCAAAGGTGCTTTTTCCAAAAGGCACTTGGACCTGGTCTTTTGTTTCCTTAGAAAACGTTTCACTTCTCATCCAAGAAGTCCTTCAGAAGGGAAGGATCTTTGGGACTCTTCCTGAGACAATTTCTAAATCAGCTTCAGAGCTGGTTCATTGAAAGTGTGCTTTGCCCCCTAACTAGTGTTCTTCTTGGCAAAAGGCTAAGAAACTTGGACGTGGCCCCTCCTTCCATTCTAGTGCTTTTCTGTTTCTTTGAGTATCTATGCCTGCCTTGGGTTTAGTCCAAACGTTCTTAGTTATTGAGGTGCAACTCTGGGTGAGCTGGGCAGGGCAGTGTTTCTCTCCACTTTTTCTCAAGGGAAATCTAGATCACCACCATTCCCGTCGCTGGTGAATTGTGGGAGCAGAAGCATCTGTAGCTCTGTCAATATCTGAATGTTACTATGCCCCAACAGCAACAGCTCTATGTATCCTCAGCCATTGGGCTAACACACCTGGCCCTTCACCGCTGTGATGTGTACGGAGAAGCCTGTGCTGACTGCTGCTTGGCCAGAGATCCCTACTGTGCCTGGGATGGCAAGTCCTGTTCCCGCTATTCTGCTTCTTCAAAGAGGTACTTCCGAGACACTATTGCATAATGCAGCTCTGGATGGGAAATCCTTAGCAAAGAGACTTCCAGAAAAAAAAAAACTGGGGGCGACAAGAAGAGGGATATAGAACATAGAAAAAGGATTATTTCTAAAAAGATCTGGAAGTATATGGAGCTGGTTTTACAGTAGAATCCTGGTGACAGTTTAAAAAGTTAGCAATATTGTCCTTCTGTCTCACAGGCATAAATCTATCTAGGACCACTTATGAATGTCATGTTATTGCCTATGAGGAGCCTATGAGTTATACATATATTTATGCCATTCCCTTTCAGGTTATGCAAAGTTATGGAATCTTCAGAAAACACAGCAAGAAGTAATAAACAATAAAAATGAGACTCAGGAGAGAAAATGGGGCAGATGAGGGAGGAAATCTCACTAAGTCTAGTTTACATAAACACTCCATTATATTTCTCCATCACTTTCTTTCCATTGCAGCCATCCACCACGTTATGCATTGCCGTTTGCTCTGTAAACTTTTCACCTCTCTCTCTCTCTCTCTGCATATTCTCATCAATTTCATCCATCCACAATTTTTTCATTCCTCGCCTTCCTCTCAACTTCTTCACTGTTCTTTCCTGTATTCATCAGCTGAATTGATCCTCATTCGCTTCGTTTATGTGACCGAAGAGTCTGCAATGTACTCCTTTCCCTCGGGTCACTGACTTGATTATTTAATCCCTGTTTGTTCATGACCCACCCATTCTTATTCTTATCTCTTTTGGTTTTACCACACATGCCTCATAAGACCGTGGTAAAAAAAAACAGAAGCAGCATTTTCTTATACATAGATGTTTTCCCTTCTTTCTGCATACATTCTCCCAACTGTCAGGTGCAAGTACAAACAGCAGATATTGTTCAATAAGTTGCTCAGCATTTTGTAACAAACAAATTCACTTTTCTCCTTTTAAACTACAACACCTACAGGCTTAGCACTTTTCAAAACTCTTAACAGCATCTGTGACTATTCTTCATATTTTTTTAAAAATACATCACTACCTTGTATTTGACATGCTACTGTCATTCCTATACACTTCTCCAAAATACACTTTCCAGTATTCCTTCTCTTCAGTTGGATCCCACATAATTTCAGTGCTTCTTAATTCAGTTCTTCCACTTCACTGAAAAGGGAGTCTTGTTTAGCCCTCTTCATCCACTTTAATTGTTTATTTTCATCAAATTCAGTCTGTATTTTCTATATCTCTTTTGACTGTTTGGGTTATTCTCTAACTTCCATATATTTTAATAATCTTTTTATTTTCATAGTTCATTAAGCATCTTGTTACACATTTCCCATTAAGAGAACTCCACCTCCATGGCACTTTGTAACTTAATCCTTTTTATTCTTTTCTAAAAAGCTACTGGATCCTCTTTCCTTACATCCACTTTTCATTCATTCAGCTGGAAGATTATACTACAGTAATTTTTCATGATATTTCCTGAGGACTATTGTCTACAAAAGAACGGTCTGTTTTCATGTTTAAAACATCTCATCACTTTGATCATTCCTTTATTAATTCTTTCAATCTTTCATAATAAGCAAATCAATCATACTTTTTAGGTTTGTATTAATTCCTTTGTTATGTGTGTGTGTGTATGTATGTGTGTGTGTGTATTTATATCTATATTATATCTATCTATCTATCTATCATCTATCTATCTATCTATCTATCTATCTACGCTTAAGCTATGTGTCTGAAACTAGCAGATCTTTTTCTAAACAGATATTCACCCTCATCATAATTCTCAAATCATTCTTGGGTTTCTGAATAGCCCAATTATGTTTTTTTTTAACTCTCTTGTCTTATTTACATCCATCCACTAGTTCCAACTTTCTGAAATGCATTTTAACCCTTTCAAGCATGATTAAACCTACATCGCTTTCCTGCAGCTCCACTCCACAAGATCAACCACCTTCACTCAGATCTGTTACATCGATCCTCTGGGGTTTTTTTCTTGTTATTATTGGTGGTTTGTTTCACAAAAACACACCATACCTTCCTTTCCGTAATTTAATTCATGAAGTCAAACACTTATCTCTTACACCTCTAATTCTCTTAACTATATCCCTGTATGCCATGTTTGCCCCTAGATGGCTCATATGTAACTAAACTGCCCAAGACAATTTAGGTTAATTGAGGTTTTCCCATGCTGCTTTTTAGTAATAGAGGGAGAGAGTAGACTAGGTAGTCACCCTACTCATATCAATGCCACGTGTGGAATTTCATGATAACTGTGAAGTACCAGCCAGTTTCAAAAAACCCTGGCTAACATGCCACAAGCACATCCTACACCCCAAGCATTACGTATCCTGTTCTACCCAAACCAGAAATGGTAAACTAGTAACTTCCTTGCAAGCCAGCACAGTGGTTTTTGGAAGATATTAGAGATTTTTCATTGTTGGCTGAGAATCACTGAAAGATTCCCCGCATGGTTACAGGCTAGAAAAGTAGAATAATGAAGTGGATTGCAAGGGCTTTCTATCATGTTGCTATTTCTACTGTTGGTGTTGGGATCTGAGATTTCAGTTGTTGATCTGCCTGCTTCTTTCCTCACTGCAGACGTAGCAGACGTCAAGATGTCCGGCATGGCAACCCTATCCGTCAATGCAGGGGTTACAATTCCAACGGTGGGTACCATATTCTTTGTCTCTAGGAAATAGAGGTTAGCATATCTTGCCCTGGAAGTCTTGGGGAACCATGGCTCTGCTTCTTCTGGCCCACTGTCTGTAAAGGTGGTTGTAGCTGCATTTCACATACTATTTTAATCCATCCAAGAGATACACAAATGGCGAGTTTACCAGAAGAGATCAGTGGAGGGTGGAACAATTTGAGTTATGGATACAACCATGATATCTTTCTTCCTCATATCTCTACAAGAAAATTCATGAAAGGTTCATTCTTAGTCCCTTAATTTTGTTTTGGAGGATTAAAAAAAATAACAACCAAATGTCTAGACATCGCAGTTGTGCAGCTTCATTTGTGGGATAAGGTGAAGAAGGCAACCTTAAAAGGATTCCCTCATCCTTGTGTTTTTATTACCAGCCTCATTCCTATGTCCATTCGTCTGATCCTGCAACCACAATGAGATATGCTACTTAATACCTGTATAAAGCTAACTGACTTTACAAAGTATTCAATTACAACACATGTTTTCCAAATAGGCACACATTTATATATTGGTTAATATATTTTGAACACTTACTAAGAGTTTCCTTCATGGGTAATGTGGACTGGTGTCCACAGTCACAGAAAATAGGCAGACAAGGATAAAGCAGAAAGAGGCTTTTTCATGTTGGATGAATGAATAGGTGCAATCAGAAAAAGGAACATGAGTGTATTCAGGCCTGCATTTTTGTATGTCCTTGTTTCACAATAGATAGCTTTGTAACCAACTTACACAATCTGTAGAATATCTATAGTTGTCTTCTAAATATCTGCAATATTTTATTTGGCATCTCTGAGGATAAATTCCATTAATTTCAATAGTATAGGCTCATACAAAGCAGCAGTGCATACTGGCTAAGTTTTATTTTTTATGTATTTATTTATTTTATTTTGTCAAGCGATTATAAGATAACAGGTATAAGTATAAGCATAGTTATGAATACATGAAATGGATAATAGGACAGGGATGGTAGGTACATTGGTGTGCTTATGCACGCCCCCTACAGACCTCCTAGGAAAGGGGTGAGGTCAATAGTAGACAGTCTAAGGTTAAAGTTTTTGGGGTTTGGGGAAGAAACCACAGAGTCAGGTAGAGTATTCCAGACATTGACCACTCTGTTGCTGAAGTCGTATTTCCTGCAATCAAGTTTGGTGCGGTTTACCTTGAGTTTGTATCTATTGTGTGCTCTTGTATTGTTATGGTTGAAGCTGAAGTATTCATTCAGATAGGACATTGCAAGATATAATTTTATGTACTATACCTAGATCGGACTGAAGGCGGCGTAGTTCTAGGTTGTCTAGGTCTAGAATTTCAAGCCTGGTGGCATAAGGTATTTGTAAGGCATCCAGAAAGTATCCATGATATCAATCACTCCGAGACATTTTCTCTCCAATTGATTTATTTAGAAACAGATCTGGTATGTCTAAGGCAATTTCCCAAAGTGAAATTATTTTTGTGCATTACACAGAATCCACCTTCTCTCCTCCCACTTCTACACTTCATAAATCATGAAACCCAATTAACTGCAACTGGAATTTCTTTATACAACATTAATAATAATTAATATTCCAGACTGGTGAGCTGTAAGTTAAGAGAGACCAAAGTCTAGATCAAGTTTAAGATGTGTTGGGCTTCAATTCTCAGAATTCCCCAATCACCATGCTAGCTGGGGAGTTGAAGTTCATGCATCTGAAACTTTCTGAAGTTGGTCTACAGGAAAGGGAGCAGTTGCATATATAAAAAAGTGAAGTGATATCCAATAGAAGAGAATGTTTGTAGCTCAGGGTTGAACTGTGGAGTCTTTGATGCTCTCTGAGCTTGGAAGTTTGCTTGCAAGTATTTCATTACCCAACTACCGGTAGTTATCAGCAGCAGCATTCACACTGCTGATGTTACCTAACTGGCTAATGAAAAGTCTGCAAGCAAACAAGCTCAGAGAACAACACAAAGGATTCCACAAAGTGATCTATCAAGTAGAGCACAAGTGTCAAACTCGATCACATCATATGATACATCACAACATTTTTTGCCTTTGCGGAGCCAGGATGGGGGTGGCCTGGGTGTGATGCGTCCACTCATGGACTGCCAGTTTGACACCCATGAAGTAGAGGATAATAGTTGCAAAGAGGAACAGTTCCTCTCCATCTGCAGAAAAGTGTTTGATCTTTCATGATATATCAGCTTTTTCATCAGGAGGATTCATGGGTTGCAAATAGTGTTCAATAACGGCATGGGTTATCATGTCCTATGCACACGTGCGCATGCATAGACATATATACCCAGAACCATGGTGTGATTTTCTAAAGCAGTTCACAAAAATCCCAGTCAGTTGACCTATTCCCTGTGTGCTGTTCAACTGAAAAGGATGTCTGATAATAAATGTGGTCACTTATTTTGGGTAGGCAGCCTTTGATTAGTCTAGATTATGCTACAAAGGTGTCACATCTCCCTTTGTAATCCATCATCTGCTTATTTCTTCCATCTCCCACTTCCAGCAAGCAAGAACTCAGTGGAGGCTGTTCAATATGGAGTGGAGGGAAGCACAGCCTTCCTTGAATGCCAGCCTCGTTCCCCTCAAGCCACAATCAAATGGCTCCTGCAGAGAGACAACAGTGACCGAAGAAAAGAGGTGAACGGACAAGCAAGGGAGGAGAGACTTTTGGGGAAAGTAGACAGAGAAATGGGGTGGAGATGTTAGAACACGTGGTAGAGAAGGAGTCTCCATTCCAGTTGAGGGCTTGAGGAAAGGGGTAACCCTCCTCAGACTTTTATGTTGAGAGAGATGGATAGCGACTTGTCTGAAATGGTATAGGGTCTCCCACTTGAGCAGGGGGTTGGACTAGAAGACCTCTCAGGTCCCTTCCAGCATTATTCTTTTTATTTATTGAGAAGTGGCTCTTTCATTCTCTCCCTTGAGCCTCCTTTCAACATCTTCACCGGCATTAGAATATTATTATCCATATTTTGGATACTAAAAGGTATCCAGAATTCTCACACTACTTAGCTGACAACCATCTTGGAAGCCTCCACATTCCAGAAGCAAAGAGCAGAGCTGACGTTGAGCTTTTGAGTTTCATAAGGCTGTACTTTCCGTACAAGTTGGGCTGTAGCTTCCTTCACCCAAGATTGCACAGCCATTGGGCATGGCTGGTTAGTGATGAGGTCAACAGAGTGTGCCAGATTGGGAGAATGCTCCGGAAATCTCCTCAACCCAGTTGAGTTAAAATTGGTCTTCCTTTTCTCAAGCCCTGTCTGTGTTCCCATTTGCTCCTGAGGAAAAGAATAGGAAATGGGCCCTGGGCCCTGATTGGCTACTAATTATGACTGCAGTAGAGGTTTTTTTTTTTTTTTTTCAAATACTATAACTGTTCTAATAGAAAATAGTAGTGCACTACAAGCCTTAAAGGACTCCAGGAAGACAACCATGGCCGATTGTGACTACTTCCTTCCCTACCATTGTGTTCTAATACCTCCAAGCCTGGCTGATCCAGCTCTAGTGACCTCTATTTTTTCCCTCTGCTTCTCTTTCCACAGCTCCGTACTGAAGGGCGGGTACTGAGGACAGATCAAGGGTTGTTGTTGCGGTCCCTGCAGCTCTCAGACGGGGGCCTGTATTCCTGCACAGCCACAGAGAACAACTTCAAGCACACCATAGCCAAAGTGCAGCTGCATGTACTGAGCCGTGACACTGTCCACGCTGTGCTCTTCCAATCAGAAGGCCCTGTCCCCTCTGCAGCAGCCATGAGAGCTGGCCTGCCGGGCACCTTCAGCTCTCAGTACCATGACCTTGTCCAGCTGCTCACACAGCCTGAGATGGGACTCATCAATCAGTATTGCCAGGGGTATTGGCGGCACGTGGCCTCCAATCACAAGGAAACTTTGGCTGGGCTCAAAGCCAAGGAGATGCATGACCAGAAGAAGCCACGAAACCGCCGGAATCACCAACCAGAGATGGATCAGCATACATGAGAGTGGCAGCTGAAAGGGACTATGCAACGACAGTTCTATAACTCCCCATTTCCATATATATATATTTCTCATATATATATGAGAAATCTCACACCACCACACACTGTTCCCTATCAAGACAGTATTTATTTGTAGGTTGTATATAATCCCATGGGTCTTGCCTGGGTGCGAGGTGGCAAAGAGCTCGGAAGCACACACACACACACACACACACACACACACACACACACACCGTGGCAGCTGGCTCTTCCTTCCCACATTTATCTGTGGTACTGTAAAAGAATTGACATCTTGGAGGGCAGAGAACAGAGCCAAAGCAACTCCTTCCTTTGCCTCGCACGTGTGGATAGCTGACCCCAGTCAGGGAAGGAGAGTTTCAAGGATGTCCGATGGCAAAATTACTGTTTCCTTAGCACCCTTTCCCCATTATGGCCATAGCACAGTTGGGCACAATGCTCTATGGATCCACAACAGTGGGCCAGTGACTTTTAAGGCTGGCCCATCCTCAGCACATTTGAGATATTGCTGTTACTATAACTGAAACAATTCCATTTTTTTTAAGGCAGCTGTCAGGTATCAAGCATTGTCCCAGTCCTGCTCCCCTTGCTACTACACACCCACAGGTGTATATAAGCCCCTGCCATACCTACAAAGCACTTTCTTCCTCTTCTAGACATCTCTCTGACTCAAAGCACATATTGATGGGACGCCTTCCAGGGAAACTTTCTATGGAGACTGCAACTCTTAGGGAGCCTGAGCTATTTGAGGAAGAAGGAAGTGCTCCGTCAAGGATATCCATGTATGACCCATGCAATGCTCTTCCTGCTACTGAAACTAAGCCAATTCCACTAGGAGTTCAAAAAGGACTTTCTGATTTGACAGTGCTTCAACTGGAGTGCCTTCCCACAGTGAATGGGATTTGGCCACTCAGGGCAGAGGCAGCTGGCTTGGTTGAATAGTTTACCATTGATGGGACAGAAAGGCCATATCCAAATGAGTTATGCCTGGGAGACGTAATGTACATATGAACCAAAGCTACTCTCCTGTAGTGCAATGCATCAGGCATTTCCAAGACCAAAGACAGCATGGCAATAGAAGTAGGAGAGAGGATAAAGGATTGGTGCATGGCCATCGGAATAGCTGATTTCTGCTTTGCTAACCCTTGGTGGAATCGGTGCCAACTTAAATTCTATAATGTATTCATCTCAGATTGCCTGTGAGGAGTTCAAAGCTTCACTATGATACTAGCATCCCATCGAGCAAAGCAATATGAACCAAGGAGAACTGTAACAGTCCGACCGAAAGTGTTCTAATAGTCACCGAAGAATTCTGTAGCATCACATGGCCAACCATAAGAAAAAGACAGGCTGGTGAGAGCGTGAAAAGGGGAGATTCAGGGAGATCTGTTTGTCTTTCTCTCAATTGTAATGTGAGTTTTTGGAAAAACAGGCTAAAGTTTAATATGCATTCACTGCATGGAATCATTTTGCCTCCCTCCAACCTCTCTCTTGTCTTCGGAAAGGAAGCCAACTTGGCTAGATTCTCAATCTTCTTTTAAGTTATAGTACAGGCAGTCCTCAACTTACAACTATTCATTTAATGACAGTTACAATGCCATTGGGAGGAAAAGTGGCTTTATGACCAGTCCTTGTACTTAATGACCATCACAGCATCCCTACGGTTGCAACCGAGATGTATTTACGACCATTGAAGTGACCCGGGGGTGGGTCATACGATCGGCCATTTGCAACTTCCCAGCCTTCGGACAGGCAACGTCGATGGGAGGGAAGTTGGATTTCCTTAACAACTTAACACACGATTCACTTCCAACCGCAGTGATCACTTAACCGTGGCAAACAAGGTCATAAAATTGGGCCCAACTCACTCAACAACCGCCTTGCTTACCAACAGAAATTACAGTTTCAATCAGAGGTGGTATTCAGCAGGTTCTGACCAGTTCTAGAGAACCGGTAGCAGAAATTTTGAGTAGTTCAGAGAACCAGCAAATACCACTTCTGACTGGCCCTGCTCCCCATCTATTCTCTGCCTCCCGAGTCCCAGCTGGGTCTTCTTTGGTTGCCCTGCACAGGAGAAGGGAGCTGGAAAGCAGGTTAGTGGGGTGGGGAGGGAATGGGGATTTTGCAGTATCCTTCCCCTGCCACGCCCACCAAACCACGCCCACAGAACCAGTAGTAAAAAAATTTGAATCCCATCACTGGTCTCAATGGTTATAAGTTGAAGACAATTTGTATTTAAATGTGGGACATGAACAAGAACAGATCCCATGTTTCTCACCTTCAGATAAGCACATTGAAAGAGGGAGGGGGTTCCTGGGTGAAAAGGTGAGTAGACCAAAGTTAGGTTATATCTTAGCTTACTTTCTTGAATGTCTTCCCGCTGTGCTCATTTCTTGAATGTCTCTCCACGCCACCCACCCTGTGGAAAACAATTGGGTGTTCTTGGGCCTATCGATCCAAGCTTCATCGATAACAGGCATGCTTCTTATCTTTCCCTAACTCCCTAGGGAAATGAAATTAAAAGGAAGCCCCATGACAGCTACTTGCAGAGTTGCAGCACTCTGCATATCCTGACTTTCTGATTGGATTAATCTGTGCACTGAGGCAAGGAATACAGAATGCTTTCCTATGGCTATGGATCTTGTTAATATGGAGCTAATTATACAAAGCTACAGGGACTACCATTACATGAGCATACCGGTAGTAGTAGGTATAGAAAATATTGCACAGAGCTATATCACATTACCCTAAATGTGTAACTGGAACAAGTTAGGGCGATGGAAACTATATTGTTTCTGCTTCTGTCTGCACAGCAAGGAAGTGTCTTCACAGCAGAGCTGAAAACTGCAGAAATCTGCAGTTTGTGTGATTCTGCCTCCCCACACACCCACTTGGTAGTATATACCACCTGCTGTTAACAAAAGGTGTTCCCCTTTCATTCTTGGAAACGCAGGATCTTCTTCATTCACCCTCCCTTGTAATAGCAACCCCCTATTCCTCTGCCAGTCTGAGTGATGTGACTACACTTCCTCTTGTAAATAATTGTAAATAAAAAAATAAATAAACCTGAGATACGGGGCATCCGAGCAGTAGCTCCACATGATGAAGCCAGGAGCAAAGCCACATTGCGCTTGTAATGTGAGATTCCTGTGGATAGAACAAGCTAATAAACACTGGCTTTGTTTTTTTGGAGACTCCAGACTCCTTCATCTTCACTCCCATCTTCAACTGAGTGCTCTTTTGTCTCGCTGGCCCAGATTAAAATTGCAATTTTTTTCCCTCCAGCCTGCTTCCTCCAGGATAAGCTTTTACAATGATAAGAATGTATGCTTGGTACAGAACGCTTATGGCTCTTTGACTCCTTAGGGAACGGTACAATGGTGTTGGCTTTCACACATCGACTGTCACCCATGCTCGCTCATATGCTTTAATCTTTCTACCTCTTGATGTTGTATTTGCAAAATTCCCCAGCCAATTTTTGTGACTCAAAAACCAAACTATTGCACACTGTAATAAAGGGGCTGGATTGGCTATATACCAACAGCCATACCAGATTGCAACTATTATATCACACACTGTTCCCTCCTGAAAGCAAGAAGTCACCAGCTAGCAACATATCAGAAAACTAGCATAATTTTCAGTGTCATGTTATCCAAAGAGACACTTTGTGTTAATATAGGGAAGCCTCCAAACATAGGAATCCTCAATTGCTGTTTGAAGTGGTGAAACCTATTCTGTTATGGCTTTCTCTAATCTTTTTTTCTTAAGCAACCCAAACTGGGGATCGTTGTCCATCATGAAAAAAGTGCATTTTGTCATTAGTTTGGGAGTTTTGTTTTCTTTTTTGTGGTCTACCTGCATTTCTCATTATTCTGTTTCTCTAGATGACCTGGAGTTTTATGAGAAAGTAAAAAAAACAACAACCCCTATCTAGCTGCTTTTTGACATCTTGTGTAACTTTATAAAACTGTATTGTGCTCCTCTTCACTAGCCCAGTTTCTCAACTCACAAACTCCAAAGATCACACCATTCCCATTTCACCACCTGATCACGTGGGCCTTTCTCCCTTTTTCAGCTCAGTGGTGTCCTTTTCTCATGTCTTTTTTGAGAAGTAGCACATGGAACTGTGCACACTATGCCAAGAACGGTCACACCTCAAATAACACTTCCAAGCAGTTCCACTCCATCTATAAATATGGCCACAAAAATCATGACAGGAATTTTCTGGACTCACAAGCTTTTTACCGTTCCTTATTTTAAAAGCCCCAGGATATATCTCCAACAGAACCAGAAATACCGTAATGAAGCCCATCAAATTGTGGATTTCAGATTTTGATTTGAAAGCCATAAACTGGTTCAGGTTTCATTAAAAGGGATAATGAAAGGGATACTGAGGAGCTAAAGTACCACTTGTGCAGTAAACTCCACAGTCCAGAGACTCGTTGCATTAGATGTTCTCCCAAATATGAGAGGCTAGAAAAGGCCCAGCACTTGCATTTCAGTGGATGAAAACATAGACCGCGCTGGAAAATCTTGTCTCAGGGCTCTTTCTGCAGAAATTCTAGTGATGTGTTGACCATAAAGTCACCCAACCAAAGCTTGTTTTCCATTTATTTATGGAGCAACAAGTCCCCCCCTCCTTTTTTTTTTTTTAATGGAGCAACCAGTAGCTGATTTTCTGCAGCTTCTGGTTGATGATCAATCCAGGAAGGACAAATATTGGGTTTCTTAGGCCCTGGTCCTCCATGCCCTGATGGCTAGAGACAAAAAGGTTTTGTTCATAATAAAAGAGAGGACAGGAGCTCCTACCTCTCTAGGGTGTGCTGAAACAGCTGGTTAAGCAAACATACTGGGAAGAATTCAGGGTCATGTACTCATTTCCTGTCCTTTCCTGTCACTGGCTAAGTTAGGGAATTGGATGGACCATCAGGGACAGGTCTGTCTACCCCCCCATGGATGTCACAAGCTTTTTCCTGCTAGCGTGCAGTTGTGAAGCTTGACGGATTGTGTGTACCTACCAGTCTTTTGTCTGCTGAAATGGCTCCCTGGGACAGATGGTCATGGGAGAAAGATGAGAGAAGGAGGCATAACTGCTCTGAAATGCTTACAGGGCCTGAATGGTCCTTGTTTCTCAAGATGCTGAGGAAGAAGCAGCTTCACAAGTTCTTTCAGCTGGCGAAACTTCATGACAAACTCGGAACTGCTACTAAGTAGATAAGGCCAAGCTAGATGTTCAGTCTGACTTAAGTTTTCTGTACATCCTCCAGCCTTCCATCTATTTGTACTGTTGTTGAAAGGGTTTATTTTAAGATGTGACGTCTGTGGGAAGTCTTTTGTGAGTCACCATAAATGAGAACATTTATAGTCATAAAAAAAAAACCCAGACAGATGTGTTTATTCATTCATCATATTTATAAAGTGCTCCAATCAGTTGCAATTCTGGACAATGAATAACAAAGCAAAACTCAATCAAGCAGAATATTATCAAAATTATTTTAAAAATATTCATATCTCTATAGATCCAAGATGAGTAGGCCAAAGCACTTTGGGCCAATGGCATGGCAGTGCCTGTAGCCTAATGCTGTGCCATATAAGGCTTTAAAGGTGATAATGAATTGAGTCTGGAAGCATAATACAAATCATAGCAGTGAGCTTAGAAGAAATGTTATGCTGCAGGTAAGTAGTTCAACCATTAGTAGCAGCATTCTGGACCATTTGCACCTTCTGAATCCTCTAGGCAAAATGCAGTGTGATAATCCAACCATATAGTTAATTAAAGTAAGGTATTTCTTTCATATTCTGGTCTAGATAAAGTTGTACAGTAATTTGTGTACCAGCTGCCATGGTTTCTACCATTTTTAAAAAATAAGAACCCACAAGTCTAAAAGGATACCCCAAATTACAAAGCAATTCCAGGGCACAAACAACCCCGTATACCATAAATATTGAGATTGATATTAATAGAGTGCTCAGATATTCAGGGAGCAATAAAAATGCCTTCCTAGGTTTTAATCAGAGCTTGTTTTACCCCACCCAGTCTGTAAAAACTTTCAGACTCCAAGACATCTTGCTTGCCTTCATAGAATTATATATTAAAACATTGTCAGAAAATTGATGAAACCTCACCTCAAACTAACACGTTATTAAGCTGCCCATCAGTTTCCTTGAGTTCATACCGATGTTAAGTAGTATCTATCGCAAAATGATATGAACACCTTTATCCACAAAGAAACCTGTTTGCTCTGCCAAATTTTCTCTAAAGGGGTTTGGATACCACTGAACAATATGCAGATAATATAAGCACAGAGAAGAAGTAATGCTTGTCCATGTCTGTTATCAGTATGTAAGCTCACATGTGTCAGCCCTTGAAGGGAGATTAGACTAGGATACTGGAGTCATAAAAATAATATAAAAATATAGTAACAGAATTTTGCAAATTTGATTGTGCTCCCTCCTTCCTACTCTTCCTTGATCTTTATGATGCCTCAGAGGGTTTTTTCTGTTTTCTCAGATTACAATTCTGCCCCAGACTGAGGTTTCTGTTATCTTACTATTAACTTAGTAATATTTCTTCCTCCTGTTCCTCAAGGCCATTTCCTTTTCCTACTACAACATATGAATATTTTCCAATACTCCATCATGGCTACTTTCAGTGGTCCATCACTGTTGCTCTTAGCATCTTTTCAGTTATTTAATTCCCCTCACCTCCTCAGTGAAGTAAGGAATGGCTTGGGACAAGCAATGGGGCAGAGACCTTCTTGAACCAATCTCATTCAGTACACTTCTCATTTGCAAGTTCTAGACAGAACCAAATTGCCAGGGAAAAAAAAGACCCAGGTGTCCTCTAGAATCTTGAATCCATGAGTCACCTGGTACAGATCTTTTCAAAAGGTCCATTGCCTGTGCAGATGTCCAGGGCTTCTGTGATCTGCAGTTTGACAAGGAAGTGGTTTCATCATGGAAAAGGGGAAATGCCAACATCCTCCACTTTCAGATTACATCTTCCATTTATCTTTGCTCCAAAATAAAGACCAGTGGTGAGATCAGTGTCAAACAAATTAAATAAATAAATGTCTATCTTTATCCTTAGTTTTTGTAAGCGGTAGTTTAAGAAGAGTGCAATTCAGTCCTGAGCTGCAAATATATTCTTCAATCGATTGTGCAAACCTTGAATGAAGGAAAAAGCAGGAACGTCTCATGTTCTGTCTTCATTAGCACTATTTCCCCCAGTGGGCAAACAAATGCTCCTGGAAAGGCCACAATACATCAGAAAAGCAGCAGACCATCACTGCACATCGCTTGAATTTGGCTTTCACTGATATAAGTGGAAACTTTAGCACACATATTCTGATTCCTATCAGCAGCAGGCAGCTTGACTATTTCTGCTTTATTTAATATACGTTTTCAATGTCTGCAAATCTACCAGGCATTCCAATATTTAACCCTCATTCTTCAGCCATCCAATTCCGCTAGTATTCATCATTCATATTTGCTATAAAAATAATATCCTCTCTGAACATGTAGACCCCAATGCCCCCCATCAAAAGTAATTCAGTGGCTGCTCTTGCACCACCTAATTCATCTTTGGTTTACAAAACTTGGCTTTTAGAAGTTTAGAAGAATGATCGCAAGATTTTATCTGAGAGCTAGAGGGTTAAAGAACTGGATTTGGATCAGGGACTTTGGGTTCACTTCCCAATTTGACTGTGGACTCTGTGTATAGTCAATGGACACCCTTATTTTCTTTTTGCAAATAGCAGTAACCTAATTTGTGTTGGACTTCAATGGAACTCCCTGTTCAGCACTTCCCAAACCTTTACCTTCAAAAAGCAATGGGATGTTGATGGAGAATTAACTGTTTACTCTGTATTCCCTCTTTGTTTACTACATTGTGGATTTTGCTATAAGATTGCTTATCTTGGGAGACTTCCCTCTGCCTTTCGTTCCTTGCCATACATGCAGGGGTGGGTTTCTACCGGTTCTGTCCGGTAGAACTGGTAGCTCTGAAGAGCAGCAGACATAGAACCGGTTCTATGTCTGCTGATGTTTTTGCACACCTGGGCTCTTACCTGATCTTTATTTCCTGCTTTTTCAACTTCAGCTGCTGAATGAGGCACAGCTGCAATTAAAAAAACAAGAAAAGAGAGCTGTTTCAAAGGCTGCTTCTTGGCACACAGTGTGCTAATGACGATTAACAGGCATGTGGCTCACAGCAGCAGGGAAGCTCGTAAATCCCGAACTGGTAGTTAACCCTGTCATATCCCACACATGCACACATGCATATGCTCTCTAAGTCAGGGGTGGGGAATTCTGGGAGTCGAAGTCCACCAGGCTTCAAGGGCCCAAGGTTGGAGACCCCTGCTCTAAGTCTTTTCCTGGAAGGATACAGTTAACTTAGGTCCTGCCTGCCTCTATAATACATTTATTTAAATATATATCCTGTTCTACAACCCCTCTTTTGCTAGATTCCCATTTGTCGGGCTCAAGCAACCAGAACTACTTGCAAGTAAGCCAAAATAGATACTTTATTTCTGATTGCCTATTTTACAAGAATCTTGCCAGAGTGTCTGACTTCCCTTGGGAAATGGCGGATATACACCTCAGGATTTTTGGTCAGATGTTTGATTCCAGACTGGAATGAATTTTACTCCCCTTCAGCAGAGGATTCCATCACACTACTCTTAGGGATGCTCATAGGCATAGATAAATGCAGACACGCATTCAATATTACAAACCCCATGAAAAACTACTAATTAAATATTAACAGTGATGGTGTTATGTCCTGAGGACTCAAGGAGTTCTCACTCAGGTCCACTCA